ACACATTCATTGTTGATCAGAAATCTGGAGCAGATTGACAAGGTGTTTCTGCCTTAGGATCTCTTCCTTGGCTGTAGTGAAGGCTGACAGTAATCTGAAGGTTTCCACCAGGGGCTGGAAAAGCTGCTTCCAAGATGGCTCACTCAGAAGGCTCTTGGCAGAAGGCCCCAACTCCTGGGCCACTTCATAGGGTATCCCTGTGTCCTAAGAGCAAGTATTTCCCCAGAGAGATTGATCACAGAGAATGAGCAGGCAACAAGCCATAATACCTTTGGTGAGCTTGGTTCTGAAGTCATTTCTACTTTATTCCAGCCTGTACTCAAAGGGAGAAAATCTCCACTTTTTTTTCCCACATAGCCCAAGCTGGCCTTGCACTTGCTATGTATCTGAGAAGGACTGAACTCCTGATCCTCCTGCCTCCACTGCCCAAGTATTGGGATTAAATGGTGTGCCACCATGTCTTGCTTTTCTTTCTTTCTTTTTTTTTTTTTTTTGAGAGGTTCTAGCCCAGGCTGGCCTGAAACTCCTGATCCTCCTATCTCTACCTACTGAGTGCCAGGATTGCAGGCTGTGACACTGTGTCTGACTTAGGCTCCATTTTTGTTTTGGTGGTAGTAGTGGTGGGGTTTCTTATGTTTTTATAACATGTGTGCCTGTTCACTTGTGTGTGGAGGCCAGAGATTGATGTTAAGTTTCCCTCTTGATCTCTCTCCACCTTTTATGTTGAAGTGGGGCTTTAACTTAAATCCAGAACTCACCAATTCTAGCTATCCATTTTTATTACCTAGGAAACTAATACTTACAGAGAAGAGATGAAAGGCTGAGCCCTGGGCTCCCCAGTCTTTAGATGCTGGAGAGATGAGGAGGCAGCAAGGATCCCAAGAGAGGTGGGAGGAGAGGCTCCCACACATGTGAATTATGTAAGGAGCTGTGTGCTAACTTTTTTCTGGAATAAGCAGCAGAAATGGTGTCTGCACATAAATATTGCTTACTGTCTTATCTCTGCAGGTATAATATTTGTGTCCTCAAGGATTTTTCCTTTTTTGCTCTAAGAGCTAAATTGCATTTAGTAACACCATTCCAGGTCTTAGTCCTTATAACATTATACCTCCAAGATTAGGTGGTATTGCCCCTCTTTAAAACTTTAGGTGGTGGAGAGATGGCTTAGTGAATAAAGTGCTTGCTGTGTAAGCATGAGGATCTGAGTTTGGATCTCCAGAACCTACCTGAAAGCTGGATATGACAGCATGTATCTGAGGGGCAGGGTTAGGTGGAGCCCAGGGACTTTCTGGTTTGCTAGTCTCGCTGACATAGCAAGCTCTGTATTCGTTGAGAGACCTTGTCTCAAAATATTAGGAGGAGAAGGAGGAAGACAGCCCAACATCAACCTTGGCCTTGCTCACACAGGTGAGTGTATCTACATGCACATATGAATATGATATGCATACACGTTTTGTTTTTTAAACTTTAAAAAAAATTTTTTTGGGTCTTTTTGAGACAGATCCGCCTGCCTCTGTCTCTGGAGTGCTGGGATTAAAGGCGTGTGCCACCAGAGGCAGGCAGATCTCTGTGAGTTCAAGGCCAGCTGGGCTACAGGGAGACCCTGTCTCAAAAAGACCAAAGGAAAAAAAAATCTTAATTACATTTATTTATTTCTCTCTGTGTGTGTGCGTGCGTGTGTAGGAAGTGGTGTACATGTGCCTGAGCATGCATAAAGAGGTCAGAGGATAACTTTTGGGAGTTGGTTTTCCATCATTTGAGTCCCAGAGATCAAACTCAGGTTATCAGCCTTGGCAGCAAGCACTTTAACCCACTGAACCATCTCATCAGCCCTCCCTGCACTTCCCCCGGAAAAAAAACCCTTTAGTATGCATGCCTTTAATCCCAGCAATTGGGAGGCAGAGGCAAGCAGATCTTTGTGAGTTCGAAGTCAACGTGGTCCACATAGGGAATTATAGGCCAGCTAAGGCTCACATAGTGAAAATGGCTCAAAAAACAAACAAGCTGGGCATAGTGGCACACGCCTTTAATCCCAGTGCTTGGGAGGCAGAGGCAGAGGCAGGCAGATCTCTGTGCATTCAAGGCCAGCCTGGTCTACAAAGCAAGTTCCAAGCCAGCTGGAACTACAGGGAGACCCTGTCTCAAAAAAAAAACCAAAACAAACAAACAAAAAAAACTCTTGGAAGTTTTTTAGATGACGAAGGAGTAAATACTTTACTCATGTATCTGTTCACAGGTGGCTGTTGGGCTTTACAGAGGTTGCTGTCCTTCCCAGTCTGGTTCCTAGCAAAAGTAAGGAGTAGGGCTTGTTTCTGAACCACTGTGACAGACTCCTGATACCAAGCTGGAATTTATGAGGATCTGTGGGATAAACCAGTAAAAAAGAAGTGAATGTTTTCCCTTATTTTCAGTAATGATAATGTCTGTAAGGTTGTTAACTTTTACAAAGTGAAAGAAATATTGAGTGCAATCCAGTCTGTTTCCATTTGCCAGCTGCTGACCTTTTTTTTTTTTTTTTTTTTTTTTTTTTTTTTTTTTTTTTAAAAAAAAAAAAATTTCTTTTGGAGCTTTGCTAGTATGTATATTCTCTGGCTTATCTGATAAAGTATTAATAAAAGGGTGCTAAGCTCTGTCTCAAGGAAGCTCAAATCTAATGCTCAGTTTTAGAAAGGTCCCTGATACAATTTTTCTTTCCTTTTTAGTCTGTTTTATTGAGTTTTAGATGTATGTATGTTTTTTTTAAGTTTACTATTTATTTTATATGTATGCATGTATTGCCTGCATGTAGGTAAGTGTACCCATGTCGTGCCTGCAGAGCTCAGAAGAGGCTGTTGGATTGATCCCCTGGGACTGGAGTTACGGACAGTTGTTAGCTGCCATGTGGGTGCTGGGATTCAAACCTGGGTCTTCTGCAAGAACGAGTGTTTTTAACCTCTGAGCCATCTCTCCAGCCCCATATTTTATTTTTTTTATTTTACATGTATGAGTATATTGTCTGCATGTGTGTAAGTACACCCATGTTGCGCAATGCCCATCGAAGTCAGAAGAGAGTGTAGAATCCTGTTTGGAACTGGAGTTACAGACAGTTGTTAGCCGCCATGTGGGTTCTGGGAATCGAACTCAGGTCCTCTACAAGAGCAGCCAGTAACAGCTGAACTATCTCTCCAGCCCTAATATACATATTTTTAATATATAAATATGTGAGTAAGAGTGAGGGACTCTGTGTGTGTGTGTGTGTGCGTGCACACACGCGCATGCATGAGTGCACAGCTGTAAAAATGAACTTTTCATGGACAAGATAGGAAGTAGCCTTTGAGCCAGGATAGAGATCACAGTTGGTATGTGAAAGTGAAAAGGATTTGGAGTTCTTGAGATTTCTCTTTGTGCAAATGTTATATTTACTTTTGCTGGGTAGGTTGATTTCTTGATAGGTAGTTGGAAATACAGTTGTCCTTTTACCTTCCTGGGTGGCATCTTGGGACTAATTACATGAAAGAACTCTCCTGCCACCTACCTGCCCTGTTTATAGAATAGTTTTTTTTTCAGAGACAAAGTCGGAGGTCCTATAGCTGGATGCTCTCACTTTTGGAAGAGGAGACTGAAAAGGAAGGGGTATGACTGAAGTTGCAGAGCCCGTCAGAGACAGATTGGCCCTGACTCAGCACTCAGGACTTTCCTTTGCTACCATGCCTCTTCCTCTCCTGGACATCTCTGAGGGTCACTGTTAGGCTGCCCTCCCTATCTTCAGTGGCCACTGCCCTGCTTTGCCCTGGCTCTGATGGATGAGGAGGGCTCGCCATCCTGCTGCAGCTGGCTCCTTCTTTCTTTTGAATCCTTTGCCTGAAATGCCAGCTACCCCTTTTGTCCATCAAGAAGTCAGACTAATTTTGTACAAATCCCTCATCAGCCAATGCCAGCCTTGTGAATATGTAACAAGTTGTCTACCCTTTCTAAGCCTCTTTCTTCACTTACATATGAAGGGTCGTAATAGTATCTACAGTAAAGTGTGATGGAAAGGCACTGGAAGTTTCCATCATTGTCATGAGGACAAAAGTGACGTAATGCAGGGAAAGCACTCAATAATAAAGTGTCTCACTTGGGGCTAGGGAGAAGGTTCAGTGCAGTCAGTAAAGTGCTTCCCATGGTGGCATGAGGACCTGAGCTCAATTTCTGCACCCACATAGCCAGGTGTGGTTGCATGTACCTGTAATTCCTGTGCTGGAGAGGAGGAGACATGAGGGTCCCTGGGCTTGCTGGCTAGCTAGACTAGCCTAATTGGTGAGTCTTGGGTCCAAGTAAAAGACCTTGTCTCAAAACAAACAAACAAGGTGGACAACTCCCAAGAAACAACACCCAAGGTTGACCTCTGGCCTCCACATGAACATGTGCATAAGCACACAGACAGATAATAAAGTGACACACAGACCAAAATAGTAAGTAAATAAGGAAGTAACTAAATAAATAAATAAAGTGACTAGCCCATAGAAGTACTCAGCAAGCATTAACTATAACTGATTCACATGGTTTATGCCCTGAAAACTGAATGTGATGGCCTTCCTTTGTTTTCCCATGCTATCCTGTTGGTGTCTATTACTGCACATCCATGTTACACTTAATTTTATGCATCTGTGTTCTCTGCCAGGCTAATTCCCATCAGTGATTCATTCAACAAATTCTGTTAGTCGGTGTGCCAGATATTAGGGATGCAATGGCATACTGGGAGTTCTTAGTGTAGTACAGAGTTCCAAAGCTATACCTGGAAGCAGTAATGCTGAGAGCAGGTCTCATGGTCCAGGGCATTTGGGAAGTGATGTTCATCATTAGCCTGCCTGTTGGACATTAGAGTCCACCCTAGTCTTGAAAAAATTCTGAGGACTCCTGTAATAAACGAACCTATTTACTTGATCCACCCTCCCCCCTTTACCAGGTTTTATAAATGTTCAATGAGTAAATGTGAGTAATCTAGTCTTTTCAATTGTGTTGTATGTTTTGGTCCGCAGCTCATGCAAAGGTCCAGGAGGCACAGCAATGATTAGAGACCCTGCTGCAAGCAACTAGCCTCTGGCAGCGTAGCAAACTCAGGACTTGCTGATGCCCATGGAGACAGGAAGCTCTGGGTTGAGCATGAAGCCCCAGTCACTGCAGCTGGTGCTGGAGGAGCAGGTGTTGGCACTGCAGCAACAGATGGCAAAGAATCAGGCTGCCTCTTGGCAGAAACTGAAGAACTCCCAGGAGGCCCAGCAGAGGCAAGCAACCCTTGTAAGGAAGCTTCAGGCCAAGGTGAGGCAGATACCCTACTGGAGAGGGAAAAAGAGAAACCTGCCCAGAGCTGGGTACTACAGCAGGATAAGGGTTGGAAGGGGGAGACTATGTAGGGGGAAATGGCCCAACCTAGCCTGGTGAGGCTGGCCCAGACAGTCCAGCTTTTGCCTATAGCTTTTCCTTTGATGGTCACAGCTTCTCCCTGAAGTATAAATTATATACCTTCTAAAGATGGCATTCACAAGTGTTAAATTAGTTGCCCAGGATCATTCTGTTAGTCTAGAGCTAAGCACAGATCCTAGGATTTCTGGTTTTGCCTCTCCAATACACAGGCATATAGAAAGTATAATTGGGCTGGAGAGATGGCTCAGTGGTTAAGAGCACTGACTGCTTTTACAGAGGAGGACCCAGGTTGGATTCCCAGCACCCACATGGCAGGTAACAACCATCTGTAACTCTAGTTCCCAGGGGATCTGATGCCTTCTTCTGACCTTTGAGGGCACTGCACAACACGGGTGCACTTACACATATGCAGGCAATACACTCATACACATAAAATAAAGAGTAAAAAATATCTAAAGTATTGTTGTATGCGTGTGTGTGTGTGTGTGTGTGTGTATGCAAGTGCATGTGAACACATGAGTATGGAGGTCAGAGGTCAATGTCAGCTGTCTTTCTCTATCACTCTCCACCTTATTTTTTGAAACAGGGTCACTTGGTGAACCTGGAGCTCACTGATTGCAGCCTGGCTAACTGGCCAGGGAGCTCCAAGGACCTGCCTGTCTCATCTCCTCAGCACTGACATTGTGGCTTTTTACATGGGTGCTTGGGATCTGAACTGGAGTCCTCTTGCTTACATAGCAAGCACTTTAATGACTGAGCCATCTCACCAGCTCCTAGAAAGAATTCTTTCTTTTATTCTATTGTGTGTGAGTATATTGCCTGAATGTCTATAAATGCACCTGTGTTGTACAGAGCCCACGGAGGGTGTCAAATCCCCTGGAGCTGGAGTTATGGATGGTTGTTAGCCACCATGTGGGTGCTGGGAACAGAACACAGGTCCTCTGCAAGAGCAGCCAGTGCTCTTAACCACTGTGCCATCTCTCCAACCCCAAAAGTATTCTTTTAATCTCTCTGTCTGTCTCTGTCTCTGTCTCTGTGTGTGTGTGTGTGTGTGTGTGTGTGTGTGTGTGTGTGTGTAGTACAGGCACGCATGTGCCATGGTGTACCTATAGTGGTCAGAGGATAATACCAGGTATCAGTCCTCACCTCCTACCTTCTTGAGACAGGATCTCTTGTTTGCCACTGTGTGTACCGGACCGTCTGGTCCAGGGGCTTCCAGGGATTCTTCTGTCTTCATCTCCCATCTTGTTACAGCAACCATGCCTGGTTTTACATGGGTTTTGGAGTTCTGAATTCAGTTCCTCATGCTTATATAGCAAGTACTTTACTTCTGAAGCCATCTCCCCAGAAAGTATTCTTGAAGGAGCAGGGTTTGTTTGTTTGTTTGTTTGTTTGTTTGTTTCTTGTCTTTTATTGAGACAGGGCCTCCCTGTAGCCCCAGCTGTCCTGGAACTCACTATGTAGCCCAGGCTGGCCTTGAACTCACAGAGATCCGCCTCCCAAGTGCTGGAACTACAGGCGTGGGCCACCACGCATGGCTCAGAAAGTATTCTTTAAACACCCAAATAGAAGCACTAAGATGCCATGCTGTGTGGCCTTACTTCACCATCACTACCCTGTTGCCTAAGCCCCCTGACCTTTGGGGTTTGTGCTGTTTATACCAGCTTTATTTGTGCTCAGGGCCTGTTCTCTTCATCTCAGGTCTTGCAGTACCGGAGCTGGTGCCAAGAGCTGGAGAAGCGGCTAGAAGCCACTGGAGTAAGTGAGATTGAGTTCTGGGTTCCCCCTGAGCACTCCTAGAACATTAGGCTTTGTATGGTGGAGTGATACTGGATGTTTACCAGAAGTCTCTCTTCAGCTCCTGAGAGCTCTATCAATCCAATCTTCCTTGGACCTGATAGCTATCCTTGGCCAGAGAGAGTCCAACCCTTGGTTCTCTAAGGACAAGGAACTGAGCAGAATTCATCGCTCACCCAGCAGGTGTCAGTGTTGCACGTCTGCAGGCCTGCAAGGCATGCCTGCAGTAGAGGGGTGCATTTATCCTGTTGGCTGGTAGAACTGGCTTTGAAAACTCCATCTGTCTTTCTTTGTTCCAGTTCCTTCAGGTACTTTCTCATTCTCCTTGGAAACGTTCTCTCAGATGAACCAACATGTATTGAGCACCTTCTGTGCAGGTCAGGGCACCAGTAGGCATTTTGTCATATTGTGTCAGTTTGCAAACTGACTTTCTGAGATGAATGATCATTGCCTTCATATATAGCTAGATATATTGTGGCATCGGGAAGTTGAGTGACTCCCAAGGTCCAAACTTAGTATACTAGAAGTGAAAACCATTAGCGAAAGCCGTATCTTATACTTCTTGGCTTAAATGCCATTTACCATCAGATGCCATCTTTCAGGAGAGGTAATGGTTCACTTTTAGAAAGAAGAGTGCAGAGGATTTGCTTTCAGGACAGTGATTGGGAAAAGAAGCAAATTGCTCACAGGAGGGAGAAAGAATTAAAAGAAATGAGGGTGCTGTAGGAAGCATCAGGAAATCAGCCTAGGTGATACTCTTTGTGTAGGTCATATAAGGCTTGTCTCTGTCTCACAAAGGGACTGATCCCTCAGCAGTGGGAAAGTGTGGAAGAACCAAACCTGGAACAGCTGCTAATCCGGTTGGAGGAAGAACAGCAGAGGTGATGGACCCTAAATTTTCTAATTTTCTGTCCTGAATAACTGACTAGTGGGTGGAAAGGCTGATGGGAAACTTCTGCCCTGAGGGTGAATGTGTGGGTAGAAGAATGTTGGGGTGGTGGCTCATGTCTTAATCCGAGGCAGGAAGAAACCAGGAAAGAAGAGAGAGAGGGAAGAAAGGAAGAGAAAGAGGGGGAAGAAAAAAAAGAAGAAAAATGAAAAGAAAGAACAGGCTCATGGGAAACTTCTATCCTGAGGGCAAACAATATTAAACTGAACTTCAGGCCTAGCCCTCTAATTCCTGGCAATGGAAAATTCCACTCACTGTCACCTTATTCTGAGAGGTCCAAGGGTTGGCCCAGACCTTTATTTTGCACTTGCTTTTGCCATTCCCAGTGCAGGTGTGAGAGTCTCGTAGAGGTGAACACTGAGCTTCGGCTGCACGTGGAAAAAGCTGATGTTGTGAATAAAGCCCTTCAGGAAGATGTGGAAAAGTTGACAGTGGACTGGAGTCGGGCCCGGGATGAGTTAATGAGGAAGGAGAGCCAGTGGCGGATGGAGCAGGAGGTAGGAAGAATGAGAAAACCGTGCACTCTGCTGTTGTTATCAGTACTGGAAAGGGTTAGCCTTGGGACCTGGGTGGAAACTGAGCCATCATTTTTCAAGTCTCTGTCCCCATGCTGACAGCTGTGCCCTGCTTCAGGCTTCTTCCTTCTGCCCTGTCTAGGCTTTGCCAGTGGGTAGCGTGACACTTAGCTCTTGCAAAAGTGACTAGCTCAGGTTTCAAATGGATCTGAGCGCTGCTGATTGCCTTCACTTGGAGGTCTTCAGAGCCAGACGCTAAGCAAGTAGCTTCTAAACTGAATAGAGGAGAAAAAGCAGTTATGGGCTCTGAGGAGCTTTCTAATCCCAGCCAAAGAAAACATTTTTCCTGAGCTTTTGCTTTGTGCTAGGTGATTTGAATGTTAGATTGCACAGTTCTTCCAAGTCTGTGTAGTGGTTCCCATTGGTTAAGCAGCTACAGTATACCCTTTTCTGATCAAGCCCAGAGGGTGGCCACTTACCATTCAGGGCCCTTTGACCTCCTGAATCCCACTGCCAACTTCATTAAACCCTTGAGCATCACCTGAATATAGACACCCATTCCTAAGCCATCTCCTTGAAATCCTCCCTTCACCCCCTCCCCTGGTAGTCATGAGGAATCTAAGACTTGCATAGGTGCAAGATAGTCCCCTTCCCTTGGGTATGACCTGGTTTTCTGAACACAGTTCTTCAAGGGCTATCTGAAAGGTGAGCACAGTCGTCTTCTTGGTCTATGGCGAGAAGTTGTGACCTTCCGACGCCACTTCCTGAAAATGAAGTCAGCTACTGACAGGTCAGTGTGGTGGTAAGAGAGGAGTTTAGCTCCTACTGACTGGACTTGGGCTGCTGAAGAAGAGAGGGATGGTAGTAGGGGTGGGGTGGGAGGGAGGCTTGCTGTTACTGAATTCAGATGATTTTCTCAGACCTGCCCCTCAGGCCCTTGGGGCCTGATGGCCTAGCTCCCTTCCTTGGTTTCTTGGAGACTGCAATCTTTCTTCTTCTACTTAGAGATCTGACAGAGTTGAAAGCTGACCATGCAAGGCTTTCAGGGTCCCTGCTGACGTGTTGTCTGCGCTTGACTGTGAGAGCGCAGTCTTGGGAATCCAGTGGATCTGGGAGAATGGATGAGAGAGAGCCAGCCCAGCTGCTGCTACTAGTAGCTAAAACCCAGGCACTGGAGAAGGAAGCCCACAAGAAGAGCCAGGAGTTAATACAGCTGAAAAGTCAAGGGGATCTGGAGAAAGCTGAGCTCCAGGACCGGTGAGATAGCCTGGACTCAGGAGAAGTTCACTAGGGGAAAGCTAACTCCCCTAGAGCATTGGGGGTGGGTAGAGGAGATGTGAAAAACACTCCTGCCATGAGAGGAGAAGGATATGTGTCAGGAGAGCCTAGTTAGAAACCCAGTTCCACTGGGACTTATCACTGTCACCAACCTCTGACTACCTTCTTTCCTGTTGACTTATATTACTAGCTGTCCTATTAACACCAGACTGCTTGTAGCCGTACTCTTCTACATTTGTCTTTGTGTATTCTGGACTTAGCCTGGAATGTTTTCCTCTTTTCCTCAATACCTTGTCCTTTGAAGACAGTTCACATGTCACCTTTTCTATGAAGTCTTCTTTGACTTCAGTAGCTAATTACAGTATTACACTCCTGTGGTCTTTAAAAAAAAATTTTTTTTAGTGTGTATGTGTGTGCACCTGCATGTACCACATGCATACAGGTGCCCATGAAGTCCAGCAGGTGTTGGATCCCCTGGGACTTGAGTTACAGGCAGTTGTGAGCTACCATATTTGGGTGTTGGGAACCAAACTTGGGTGGGTCCTCTGCAAAAGCAATCTGTGCTCTTAACCTCTGAGCCATCTAGCCAGCCCCATGATCTTTTGTATGTGTGTGAGTGTTTTGCCTGCATGTATGTGAGTATACCTATGTCATATAAAGCCCGTGGAGGCCAGAAGAGAACATCAGATCCCCTGGACCTAGAGTTATGGATGGTTGTTAGCCGCCATGTGAGTGCTGAGAGCCAAACCCAGGTCCTCTAGAAGAGTAGGCAGTGCTCTTAACCACTGAGCCATTTCTCATTATCTCTTTAATTATTTAGTTTCTATGTATCCCCACCTCCCCTTTTTCTCTTTTTCTTTTTTGGGTAGGCTTATTTGTTTTCATAGTGCTACAGATTCAATCTAGGGTCTTGCACATGCTATCCAAACATTCTACTACTGATCCCCTGCCTTGGCTATTTTAATTTTGGGATTATAGTGAAATGGGATTTTTTAATGATGATGAGAATGCAGCCACAGGCAGAGCCCCACTGGCTCTCAGGGCAAAGTCTCTCATGGTAGGGCTCCATCTCTATCTGTTGGTGATATATAGAAGTTAGAAGACTATTTTCTATTATGTTTTCTTTTTGCTTCTGAAGACACTGAGCACAAAGTTCACGTTTTAGTAAGTTTGTATTTCTAGTGCTTTGTGTTTTATCTTCCACATACTAGACAATCATTATTTGTTGAATAGATACAATTAAATGACCATACAGTGACTTAGGCCCTTAGATATGATACATAGTAAAATTATCAAAAGTCAAGGGTAGAAGATCATAACTGTAATCCCAGCACTCAGGGAGGGTGAGACAAAAAGATAATTTCTTTAGTTCAAGGACATCTTGGATTACAGTCTAGTCAGAATTATATAGAATACTATTTCTCTAAAAACAAAGAAAAAATTTAAACTCCTAGATAACATTCATGTAAGAAATACTTGTTAACCAGGTGTAGTGGTTTGTGCCTGTAATCCTAGCACTGGGGAGGTTGAGGCAGTAGGATTTTGAGTTCAAGGTCAGCCTAGATTGCATACAGAGTTCCAGGCTAGCCTGGGCTACATAGCATAGCTGTTCTAAAAATCAAAAAGAAAGAAAAAGATTTGTTTAGCCATACATGTAATACTATGTACTAAGCTCCAAGATGTGGTGTTAAGTGATAAAGATGTCAGTGGGGGCTGGGGAGATGGCTCAGTGGTTAAGAACACTGGCTGCTCTTGCAGAGGACCTGGGTTCGGTTCTCAGCACCCACATGATGGCTAACAACCATCCATAACTCCAGTTTCAGGGGATTTGATGCCCTCTTCTGGCTTCTTCAGGCTCTCCACAACATGGGTACACTTATATACATGCAGGCAATACACTCATATACATAAAAAATAAAAATTTTAAAAAAAGCATTTTTAAGAAAAGATCAGTGGTTTTGCTAGACAAAACCACTAGCTCTATTGTCTTCCAAGTTACCCCTCCTTTCTCCCATTAGAGGCAAAACCTTGGGCTTGGGGAAACTTGTGACTGTGCCCTGTGGCAATTCTGATGTTCTTATTGGCTTCAGGGTGCTTGACTTCACGATCAAGCAAGGCCTGGAAAGGCCTGGGCCAGGGCTTTCCTTCGGCTCTCGGGCCCCCAAACACGTGTTCCAGCCTTGAGATGTGGTAAATCCCTGCATGTGTCTGAGTGACTTTTGGCTTTCCCTGCCAGATCAAAGATATAGAATCATGTGGTATTCAAGGAGTACAAAGGGCTGGGTGTAATCAAGGGGTTCTTGTGGACTGCAGTGGGAGTGGCCGTGTAGGGCTGAGGTGTGCTGTGTGTGACTCTGTCCATATCCTTGGGCTAGCCAAGTGATAGGGCTGTGCTTTTCTCTTTAGGGTGACCGAGCTCTCTGCTCTGCTGACCCAGTCCCAGAAGCAAAATGAAGATTATGAAAAGACGGTAAAGGCTCTAAGAGAGACAGTGGAGATGCTGGTATGTGATCCTTTGTGCTGGAAAGGAGCTTGGAGTGATTTGCAGGTTTCTTGCTCTTTGGTGACATATAGTGCAGGATCCCAGTTAAATGTTCCTTGATGAAGTCCTTCAAAGCCGAAAAACAAATTTTAACTAATCTGAAAATTAGTTAACTAATTTGTTTACCCACTCAATAAGTATTAGTAACTACTATCCTTACTATATTCCTGGGGAAATTACATTAGCACATGTATAAAATGTATACTTGTCATACTGAATTTGAGGCCAATATGGGCTACATGAAACCTTGTCTCAGAAAAATTAGAAAGGGAGGGAGGGAGGGAATAAGAGAGAGAGAGAGAGAGAGAGAGAGAGAGAGAGAGAGAGAGAGAGAATGAATTTAGCAAAGCAATAGGGAGGAGATAGGTGGAGAGATTCAAAATGAAATCTCATGGGGTATACCAATGCTTAGCCTGGAGCAGAAAGGCTATGAAAGAACGGCTGTCTTTACATCTCTGAAGGTCTGGCATTGAGGAAAGCAGAGTTGATGGGGAAAAGATGCTGACCAGTTTAATGTGTTCCAGGGCAGAACCAACATCAGTGACTAGAAGTTAAAGATAGGGTAGTAGGTTTTGTCTCAAGCCAGAGCTGTCCATTTGGACAGTCTGTGAGGTTTTAGTCACTGACTAACATCTGCCAAGGATGTCTCGAAGATGAGATGTCAGAATCCCTGGCTTGATTCCATGTTTCCTTTCATCTCAACAAATCTTCAGATCTCTGATTTTAGGCAGCTCCTAAACCTCTGCCACATGCACTCCCTCATCCACGTTGGGAGCCTCTGGAAACCAGACTTGTTTGTGCCCTTTTGATTCCTTTTTATTAGAAATTTGCTGTTTCAGACATCCACAAGACTTAAATCACACAAGGAATGAAGTTGGAGTGTAAAGATTCTGGTTTTCCAGGGCTCTCATAGACAGTATTCACTGCTGTGGGGGACTTGAGCTTAGTCTGAAGGAAACGGTGAGGTGTGGTAGGGATTGTCAGACACGGAAGAATAAGTGTCTACTCTCAGAGGCATCCATTCTTCAACTCAGTGGAGGTCTTGCCATATAGCTCATGCTGGCCTCCAACTTGCTTATGTAGTCCAGGCTGCTCTTGAACTTGAGATCCCTCTGCTTGAGCCTCCTGCATGCTGGGATTACAAAAATCTCTCAATTTACAAATTGATTCAAAGTTTGTATAGACCAAATGAAACATAGTTGCATGGCTGTGTCTTCAGACCTTCACTAATGGAAGCATAGTAGGAAGGAAGAGAGGTAATCTGAGTCTTCAAGATTATTTCTAGTTTTGGGGCTAGAGGTTTCTCTTATTTTATTAGCCTTTGATCTCAGACATCAGTTTACTATTTGAAGACAGCAGTTATGCCCCATCAAATAACAGCTCTTATTTATTTAGTTTTTTTAATGGGTTTTCTTTTTTAAAAAACTTTTATTTTAATTTTATGTATATGAGTGTATTGCCTATATGTTTGTAAGTGCATCGGTGTCATGCAGTGCCTGTGGAGGTCAGAAGAATGCATCAGATCCCCTGGAACTGGAATTACAGACCGTTGTTAGCTGCCATATGGGTGCTGGGTCCCGGGTCCTCTGCAAGACCAGAGGACCTCTTAACCACTGAGCCATCTCTCCAGCCCCATGATTTTTCTTTTTCAAAAAAATCTTTTATTTATTTATTTATTTTTTTTTTTTTAATTTTATGTGTATGACTATATTGCCTGCATGTATGTAAGTGCACCTGTGTCTTGTGATGTCCATGGAGGTCAGAAGAGGACGTCAGATACCCTGGAACTGGAGTTAGGGACAATTCTTAGCCACCATATGGGTGCTGGAAACCAAACCTAGGTCCTTTGCAAGAGTAGCCAATGCTTTTATCCACTGAGCCCTCTCTCCAGTGCCTATTTTGTTTTATTTTGTCTTTTTGAGACAGGGTCTCCCTGCAGCCCCAGGTGCCCTGGAACTCACTGTGTAGACCAGGCTGACCTTGAACTCACAGAGATCCACCTGTCTCTGGCTCCCAATTCGATTGCTGGAATTAAAGGTGGGCGCTGCCATGGCTGGCCCAGCTCATATTTATTTAGCATTTGCTTTATACTAGGCAGTATGTTGAATAATTTCCATGCCATTTTTCATTTAAGCCTCCAAACAAATTTGTAACACAGTTGCTGTTAATGATTCCTATTTTAAGAGAAAAGAAGTTCAAAGGAGGAATTGCCTCAGGTTACTAAGCTGGTCAGTGATAGAGCAAGAACCATAATCTAGGCAGTCTGATTTGGAGCTTTTAGCCATTTAATTGGAATATTTTATCACCATTTCATGGTGTCTTCAGATAGGGTCAACAGAACAGACAGAATGCAGTTGATTTCTCCTAGGGTTATGCATTTTGTTTTGAAAGTTTGATTCTTAGGCTGTATTCTGTTCCTTTACCAGGAGACAAATCATGCGGAGTTAATTGAACATGAAGCATCTCTTAGTAGGAATGCCCAAGAGGAGAAGTTGTCTTTGCAACATGTGATTAAAGATATAACACAGGCACTGGTAAGCTTCTTGTCACATAACTGAGCAGAGAGTACTTCGCTCTTCTCCATGTGACTTCCATGTCCTCTCAGCCTGCCTTGATTTCTAGGCTGAGGTTTGGGTTTAGAGCCATGTAAGGATCAGTTCTCTTAGTGTAGATGAAGATTGGGACCCTAAGGGTAGGTCAGCATTCATGTCCGGGCACCATGGTCAGCATTCATGGTCAGGCACCATGGTCAGCATTCATGTCCGGCCACCATGGTCAGCATTCATGGTCAGGCACCATGGTCAGTATTCATGATCAGGCACCATGGTCAGCCATTCATGGTCAGGCACCATGGTCAACATACATGGCCAAGCACCATGGTCAGTATTCATGATCAGGCACCATGGTCAGCATTCATGGCCAGATACCATGGCCAGCATTCATGGTCAGGCACCATGGTCAGTATTCATTGCCAGGCACTGTGGTGGACAGTCCTCTTGTTACTTGCTGCATTCTCAGGCCATAGACTGAATTCTGTCTTTGTTATTGCATTTTCTTCTCTTTTTTTGTTACATATTTTTTTTATGTGTTTACATATTTGCCTGTATGTATGTAAATTGTCATGCAATGCCTATGGAGGCCAGAAGAGGGTACTGGATCCCCTGGAACTGGAGTTAACGGATGGTTGTTAGCCACCATGTGGGTGCTGGGAACAGAACTTGAGTCCTCTTCAAGAGCCACTCTCCAACCCACTCTCCACTGAGCCATCTCTCCAACCCACTTCTCCCTTTTAAAATTCCTCACTTATTATTGTCCCAAAGAAGGTTCTAGACTGATTGCTAATTCTAGACTTAGATGCCCAAAGATGGAGAGTTGTAGAAACCAGCCATTCTTGCTCCTAGATCTCCATCCCTGGCCCTGCCCCAGGGAGAGGGCCTGAGAAGGAAAAACCTCAGTGTTACGTCTCTCTTTGATGCTGGGTTGGATTTCAGGCCTTGGTGGAAGAAGAGGACAGTATGGCCCAAGGCTCTGTTCATGATGAGAGTGCAATGCAATTGGACTCTGGTGGATTCTCCCAGTTTGATCCCCAGGACCCAGACAAGGTTGTTACTCTGGTGCGTTCAGTGTTGACTCAGAGACACCAGGCTGTACAGGTAAGAAGCCCCAGGGTTGCTCCTCAATCACAGGGAAGGGTGTCTTAACTAATCTGTGTCCCAGGTGCCCCTCCGGCCTAGATTACCCTTTTCAGCTGACTAGTTATAAGGCGTTAAGTTGACATCTTAAAGTTGCTAATAGAATCTGTCTGCCCAGTGGTGCTTGTGGCTATCAGGTATGTGCATTCTCTATGCTAATCACATGCATATAATTTTTGCGTACCATTCAACAAAGAACCCTGAGAGAATGTAGATGTTCCCCAAACACCATTCCCTCATGCCACTATGCATTTGAAGATGATGAGCTCTAAGACTCTAGAGCCACAGAGCTTGATAACCTCTGATTCACTGACATCCAAACTGGCTACATCTCTATTCTCAGCTGACTGTTGTACCTACCTCCAATCTCTTTGCCTTGAAATCCCTCCTTGCCTTTGGACTCGGGGTTCATCGTCTCATTTCTGTTGCTCTCTTTCCACAGGACCTCAGGCAGCAGCTTTCAGGTTGCCAGGAGGCTATGAGCTTCTTGCAGCTGCAGCATGATCAGTGGGAGGAAGAGGGCAAGGCCCTGAGAGAGAGGCTACAGAAGCTCACCCGGGAGCGGGACGTTCTGTCAGGGCAGACCTTGGGCCTTCAGGGAGAGGTGGAGACTCTCAGCAAGTGAGCAGGCGGGCTCATCATCCCTTCCATGCGTGGTTCTTTGATGGTTTTGTTTTGTGGTATTAGAATTCAAACAGAGCCTTAGGCTTGCTAGACAAGCACGCCATACCACTGAGCCCTGGCCCATGTCTTATTTTTGTCCTCATTTAGCTACTTACCCATCACTGTCATGTTTGATAACTCTTTCTATTAATTGTTTAACTATCTCTGGAGCACAGATGCTCAAGGCTGCTTTGCTTTTTTTCTACTAATTCCTGTGGGACAACCATTTGGGTTTGGGGTCTTTAAGATCATAGTAAATGATTTCCTGCCTAATATATATAGTAATAAATAATTTATATATATTAAGTCGAAAGGAAACTGCCTTTTCTTCCCTTTGACTCTCCATTGTCTGCTTCCAGTGAAGATTTTTGGTCCTGGGTCTGCTCATCTCTGATCTGCATTTCAGGGAGCGAGAGCTGCTGCAAAAGGCCAGGGGAGAGATGCAGCAGCAGCTGGAAGTACTGGAGCAGGAAGCCTGGCGCCTGAGAAGGGTGAACATGGAGCTGCAGCTGCAGGGGGACTCTGCCCAGGGGGAGAAGCAGGAGCGGCAGGAGGAGCTGCACCTAGCTGTCCGAGAGAGGGAGCGTCTGTAAGTGTGACCAGGGCCACAGGGCCAGGCCTTCTTTCACCTTCCCTACCTGCTCTTCTCTCTTAGTGGAAGACCTACAGCCTGCATGTGGTGGGTTCACATTAGCTTACTGCTCTTTTTGCAGAAAAATGAGTACAGAAAGTACATCCAGATCTTATTGAGCACATATAGGGATGAGGGACTGTGGGAAATACAGCAATGTGTCTGATGAGAAGACAGACGAGCAGTCAGCTGTGACATGAGTCCAGAGGAAGTATGAGCTCACTAGCACTTCAGACTTTGGAAGCACAGGAGCAACAGTTAATGACTGAATGCCTGAAACAACTTTATGGAGGAAGGGGTAATTTTGAGTGGGCCTTGGCCTATTTTAATTTGTAGAAAGAAGGGCCAAAGGGACAGAATAGCAAAGAAAAGGAGGCAGAAGGTTTGTGGCATGTTCCGAGTAATAAGTTAGCTGCTAAAAGACAAGACATGCTTGGAAGTGATGGAAAATAACTGGTCAGGATGGGAAATCCAGGGTTAGTGGCCCCACTCACCTGTAACTTCTACTACATGATATTGCAGAAAGAACAAGGATTTTACAGTGGGACAAAAGTTTGGTGCAGGTTGTGTCTCTGCACCCTGACAGATTTTTTTTTACAAAGTGTATTTACAAAGTGGGAATAAGGTATTTGAAAAGTTGTTGAAAGCATTAGGGCAGTATTTCAGAAAATGTCACTGTAGGGCTGTTGAAATGGTTTGGTAGGTAAAGGAGCTTATTGCCAAACCTGATAACCTGAGTTTGATTCCCAGGACCCACACGATAAGAGAAAACTGACTCCTGTGGGTTGTCCTCTGACCTCCACATGTATATTGTGGCCCTCTCCTCACACAAGTAAATAAATAATTTTCTTTTGTCTTTTTGAGACAGGGTCTCCCTGTAGTCCCAGCTGGCCTAGAACTCACTGTGTAGACCAGGCTGGCCTCAAACTCACAGAGATCCGCCTGCCTCTGCTTCCTGAATGCTGGGATTAAAGGTGTGCACCACCATACCCAGCCAAGAATTTTTGTAATGCCAGCATGGAGCCTGGTAAAGATTCCTTCTCTGCTGGCATTTCCCCTTCCTTCCCTGTGCCATAGTTACTTACACCTCATAAACACAAACAGTGGAGGCTTAAGGAAGCTTGAAGGACTGCCAAAAGGGTCATGCCTTGTGCTAGAAAGGACATGCCCTGTACCAAGGGGAAGGACAGATAATCTACACAAATAATGATCTGTTTAAAATTTAGTTTACCTGACTTGATAATATAGCTATATAGTCAAAAGTCAAAGCTATTTAAAAGGTACCTGGTTATTATGGATCATGCCTGATATCCTAACACTTTGGAGGCTGAAACAGAAAGATTGGTGTGAGTTCAAAACTGTCCTGGGCTACATAATGAGTTCCAGACCAGCCAGGGCTACAGAGAAGACCTTGTTTCAAAAAACAAAACACAAAAATTCTACCTCTTTAAAAAGATATGTGCAGAAAAGCCTCATTTCTGTCTTTGCTTTCTCTGATTGCCCTTCCTCGTATAAGTAACCATTTAAAATAATTTCTTACTGATCTTTCCAGTCCACTTCATGCAGACTTAGGCATTCTTTCTCTTGCTTTTTTGCATAAAAGGTAGCACAGTATATTTACTGTTCTACGCTTTGATTTTTCTTACTTGCGATGTGTTAGAGAACTTTCCAAATCAATTTTTAGAAACCTTCCACATTTTTTTGCATAGGTGCATAGGAAAAATAATTATGTTCTTGATACCTATTAGGGTGTGACCATTTCAAACACTTCCTGTAGATTTTTCTCCTTCCTTCTTAGTCAGGAGACATTGGTGGGCCTGGAAGCCAAGCAGTCAGAATCACTAAGTGAGCTGATCACTCTTCGGGAAGCCCTGGAGTCAAGTCGCCTGGAAGGAGAGTTACTGAGGCAAGAGCAAACTGAAGTAGCAGCAGCGTTGGCCAGGGTATGGAGGCATCCTTACTTGCTGGGCAGATTTGCAGAAAACAGTCATGCAGGCTCATTCTTCACCCTTCAAACCTCAATTCTTCACGTTTATGTCCCTAATTACTGGGCTGCTTCTGGTCCTCTCTCTTGCAACACGCCCTCTATATTGGAATTAAATGAGTTTTCTAAAGTATAATTCTGGTTATGTCAGTCTCCTAAAACCATTCATTGGATGCTCAACTCTAGTACCACATTCAAAGCCCTTCAAATCTGCTCAAACTGTTTCTGGCCTCCCCTTCCCAAACCTACCCTCACTCCCAATGTCCTTTGCTCCTGCCACAAAGGATCATTTGCATTCTCAGCTGGGTCATGTTTCTTCATGACTTTAATGAATTGTGTATACTTTTCTCTAAACTTTGACTGCTTCTTTCCTCCCACACTTTGTGAACCATTTCTCATCTGTCAGCACTCAACTGTCAACTCCCCTACCGAGCATTTTGTACTCTCCTAAACTGAATTTATGCCTTCTTTGAGTTCCCAGAGTATGGCAGTGTGATGAAGAATTATGGTGATGCTTGAATAAAAACAGCCTAACTCTTAGCATCCATTAAAACGAAGAGTGAGGCCTGATCTGTTCTGAGAACTTGTCCTTTCAATTTTCTCCCAGAATTGTGCTCCTGAATAAAGGCCTTGCTCTCTCTTTGTTGAAGCAGTACATCCAGCATGAAATGGGGGAAGGAAAAGCATAACCTTGTCTTATCAGGGAAGGATTTAACCTTTCTGAGTCCTATTGACCTAGAAAATTATGCACACCCTTAAGCAGATGCTATCTGTCTATTCTCACCTGTTGTTTGCAGCATAAATGAGGTAACTTGCTACTCCCAAGCTGCTCTCGCCTTTGATGTTTATTATATTTATTTTTTATGTATATGAGTATTTTGTCAACATATGCACAGAGGCCAGAAGAAGGAGTCGGATCCCCTGGAACTGGAGTTACAGTGTTAGCCATGATGTGGGTTCTGGGAACTGAACCTGGGTCCTCTTCCAGAGCAGCCCATGCCCTTAACCACTGAGCCATCTCTCCAGCCCCAGTGCTTGGCATTTTCACAACACATACACACACATACTTATATTGTTCTGGGTCGGGGCAAGGAAGGATCATGAGGGACTCAAGCTATATGTTTAGGTTACAAGAGGAGCCCAAAGCCTAGTAAGTTTGTTTACATTATAAACAAGCTGAGATAGTGTTATATGATCTTAAAATATAAGATTAACTTTGGTTTCAAGGTTAGGTAAGATTCCACTTGTCTGGAAACGACATTCCCATGGTTCCCCCTTGTTTCGTAAAAGAAGAAGCATGTCCATATTTGTAACAGAAGGCATTCCCAAAAAAGCCATTCCTACACCAACATTCTTTGTGCTTATAGTGTCTATAGTGTTGTGACAGCTGTAGATGTTTATACATCTTTCTGTGTTTCTATGTTGTCAGCTCCCTTTTCATGAACAAAAGAATGAATGAATGAGCAAAGGACTGAATGAAAAACTTTAGAATGTAAGGGAAGAGATGGAGTGATTGTTTACAAAAAACAAGCAAACAAATGAAAAAACATGCTGGGAATGTGACTGTTTACTGTTCCAGGAAAACTGGATATAGGAAACATTTTAACCCCCTTTTTTTTTTTTAGGCAGAACAGTCCATTGCAGAGCTGTCAAGTTCTGAGAACAGCCTGAAGGCAGAGGTAGCTGATCTTCGAGCTGCAGCTGTCAAGCTCAGTGCCTTAAATGAGGCTTTGGCTTTAGATAAAGTTGGGCTGAATCAGCAGCTTCTCCAGGTGAGCAAAGATTTGTCTGATTCCCAGGATAGAGCTGGCCCTTGTCAAAGGATTAGCTGTGGCAAAGCTGATGCTTTCAACAGGGCAGAGAGTCCTCAGTGGATTAGGCAAAGGCAAATCAGCTCCCAAGTGTAGCTCTGAAATGAGCAAAAGAAACACAGTTCAGAGGAGAGCAAAGGATTCAATTTAACCACTATAAATATTCCTCTCCTGAACCTCCAGCTGAACCTTTGAACTTTAGCTCAATGATCAGGACCAGGGAGAAGGCTGTGCCCCTGGAAGCAGGACTAGGTTTTTAATTCCATTTGGTGAGATAGAATTGGCCAAATAGCCTAAGACCCCCCAAATCCTCTCAATTGGTTACAAATTCAATCCCTAATTTTATTTATTTATTTATTTATTTATTTATTTATTTATTTATTTATGGTCTTTTTGAGACAGGGTCTCCCAGTAGACCCAGCTGGCCTGGAACTCGCTCTGTAGACCTCAAACTAGAGGTCTCAAACTAGAGGTCTGCCTGCCTCTGCCTCCCAAGTGCTGGGATTAAAGGCATGTGCCACCATGCCTGGCACTTAACCCCCTAATTTTAAAAGGAGAAATTTCCTGTTTCCCCTGAGCCCCAGATGTTGTGTCTTTCATTATTCTGTTGTGGGTTTGGGGAGGGGTGGTGTTGGTCTTTTTGAGACAGGGTATCCCTGTAGCCACAGCTGGCCTAGAACTCGCTGTGGTGGCCAGGTTGTCCTTAGATCTTACAGAGATCCTCCTGCCCTCTGCCTCCAAGTGTTGGAGTTAAAGACATGTGCCACCACACCCATAAATAATATTTTATTTATTATTTTTATTTTACCTGTATGAGTGTATTGCCTGATAATATGTAAGTGTACCTGTGTTGTGCAGTGCCCACGGAGGTGAGAAGAAGATGTCAAATCCCCTGAACTGGGCAGTTAGCCGCCATGTGAGCACTGGGAACTGAACCTGGGTCCTCTGTAAGACCAGAAAATCTTCTTTTTTTTGTTGTTGTTGTTCTTTTTTGAGACAGGGTCTCCCTGTAGCCCCAACTGTCCTGGAACTCACTATATAGACCAGGCTGGCCTTGAACTCACAGAGATCCGCCTGCTTCTGCCTCCCAAGTGCTAGGTTTAAAGGCATGCAGCACCACGTATGGCCCAGCCAATCCTCTTAATCACTGAACCATCTCTCCCGCCCCTGTTTTTGTTTTTTGTTTTGAGACAGGGTCTCACTATATAACCCTGGCTGGAATTCACAGTGTATGGAATTCACAGTGTAGATCACACTGGACTTGAACTCACAGAGATCCAGGTGCCTCTGCCTGGATTAATGGTGCTGGGATTAAAGACATCTACTACTACACCTTCCTTTTTTTTTTTTTTTTTTTTGAGGTACTGTTTCCTGTAGCCTTGGTTGATCTCTTGAACCTCCTACTTTCACCTTCTGAGTGTTGGGATTGAAGGCATGCCCCACCACACCTGGGATTGTAGGCGTGCTCCAGCACACCTGGGATTGTAGGCATGCTCCAGCACACCTGGGATTGTAGGCATGCCCCAGCACACCTGGAATTGTAGGCATGCTCCAGCACATCTGGGATTGTAGGCATGCCCCAGCACACCTGGAATTGTAGGCATGCCCCACCACACCTGGAATTGTAGGCATGCTCCAGCACACCTGGGATTGCAGGCATGCCCCAGCACACCTGGGATTGTAGGCATGCCCCAGCACACCTGGGATTGTAGGCATGCCCCACCACACCTGGGATTGTAGGCATGCCCCACCACACCTGGGATTGTAGGCATGCTCCAGCACATCTGGAATTGTAGGCATGCCCCTCCACACCTGGGATTATATGCTTGCCCACCACACCTGGGATTATAGGCATGCCCCACCACACCTGGCTTTATTCTGAATTCTTTGAAAGCAAGAGTTTGCCTTTTTTATTTTCAATTCAGCATCTGACCCATGTAGTACTTAGAATATAGGCACCAGATCAAATGAATGGATTCTACCTCTCTTCACAGCATTCCTGTGTTCACCAGTCAGGATCAACTCATGGCTCACATGGATTTCAGTTGCAGCACCTGGAAAGGTTTAGGGAAACTATAACCGCTTTCCCTTGATACCCTGTGCTCCCTTCTCTTTCTGGCCAGTAGTTGGAGCAGGATAACCAGTCTGTGTGCAACAGAGTGGAAGCAGCAGAGCAGGCGAGAAGTGCTTTGCAGGTGGATCTGGCACAGGCAGAATGGAGCAGGGAAGCCCTGTGGGAAAAGAAAACTCACCTGGAGACTCAGCTGCAGAAAGCAGAGGAGACAGGGGCTGATCTGCAGGCCGAGCTTACGGGCATCCAAGAAGAAAAGGAAGAGCTTAAGGAGAAATTAAATGAGGTGAGAAGACAAAACTGTCATATCACATTAAGGTACTATGTACTCTCCTGGTGACTAATGGTGATTCGGGGTGAAAGGCCTTACTTCTTAGACGTGACCAGTATTATTACAGTATATTTTCCTACTTCCTATTCCTAGTTTAAACTAGATGGTTTTCCTATGTGCTCTGCTGGCCCCTCATACTTATTTCAACCACTACGGCCTTTGTTTTGTAATCATCTGTTTGAATGTCTTTGAGGGTAAGGCTATGTCTTTGCTATCTTAATTTAGTCAACTAATTGGTTTATTTATTTATTTATTTATTTATTTGGTTGTGGGTTTGTTTTTTTTTTTTTCCTCTTTTTGAGACAGAGTTTCCCTGTAAGCCCCAGCTATCCTGGAACTTGATATGGAGACCAGGCTAGCCTCAATCCCACAGAGATCTGCCTGTCTCTGCCTCCTGAGTGCTGGGATTAAAGGAGTGCACCATCACACCCAGCATTATATAAAGGCAGAATATCAGAATATCATTCTGTAGCTTTGGCTGGCCAGGACTCACTTTGTAGACCAAACTGGCCTCAGACTTGCAGTTATTCTCCTGCCTCTGCCTCCCAAGTTCTGAGATTACAGCTGTCATGCCCAGCTAAGGCCTATGTCTTTCTTTTATTCCTGTAGCTTTTATCTCAATGCCAAACATATAACAGTAGGGTACAATACATTTTTTTCTTGAACCAATATATTACCTGGCCCGAAGATCATCATATTGATTACTTTTGTTGTTGTGACCAAATACCTGACAAGATGCAACTTCAAGGAGCAGAGGTTTATTATGGCTCACAGTTTAAAGAGACAAAGTCCATCACAGTAGGGAGTCCTGAGGAGACACAGTCCCTCACAGTGGGGAGTCATGAAGAGACACAGTCTCTCACAGTGGGGAAGTCATGAGGAGACACAGTCCCTCACAGTGGGGAGTCATGAAGAGACACAGTCTCTCACAGTGGGGAAGTCCTGAGGAGACACAGTCCCTCACAGTGGGGAGTCATGAAGAGACACAGTCTCTCACAGTGGGGAAGTCATGAGGAGACACAGTCCCTCACAGTGGGGAGTCATGAAGAGACACAGTCTCTCACAGTGGGGAAGTCATGAGGAGACATAGTCTCTCACAGTGGGGAGTCAGGAGACACAGTCCATCACCATGGGGAGTCTGGAGGAGACACAGTCCCTCACAGTGGACAGTCATGGCAGCAGGTCATTCTGTGGAGGCCAGAGTGTTTGGCAGTTTCTTGCTTACATCTCAGTGCATCAGGAAGCAGAGGAAGGGAATGAGTTACTCCACTGGTTTTTCTCCTGTTACCCTTTTTATTTAATCTGAGACTCCAGATCATGGGTTGGCACCACCCATTCAAGGTAGGTTTTCCTCTCAGTTAAACCTCTCCAGAAACATCCTTAGACACACCTAGAGGCATGTCTCCTGGGTAGTTCTAAATTATCAAGTTGATTCTCCGGCCATACAGTCTCATTGACTTAATACTCAAGATTTCCATTCACAGAGTCCCTTCTCAGGCCACTGGTCACTTTCTTCTTGGTATATATATATGGGTCCTGCTGTCCCTAGCACACACAGTGTCTTGCTCATAGGAGAGCATCCTCTTGGTTGGTCAAGGAAATAAATAAATGCCAGTTATTACGTGAGAAATGCCTAAGGGGTCACAGTTCTGGGCCTGGACTCTCTGAAGAGCTAACAGCCCTGACCTGATGGCACTAGCCCTGGGTGCTGCCTCTACTCTGTATCTCACCAATTTCTTTCCTTCAGGCATATCACCAGCAGGAAGCAGCCACAGCTCAGCTAGAGCAGCTGCATCAGGATGCAAAGCGACAAGAAGAAGTGCTTGCCAGGGCAGTGCAGGAGAAGGAGGCCCTCGTAAGGGAGAGGGCTGCTCTAGAGGTGCGCCTGCAGGCTGTGGAGCGGGACCGACAGGACCTTGTTGAACAACTTCTGGGGCTCAGGTAGGGTCCACATTTAGTTCATCCAAGCACAAAGAGCTTTGCAAGGCAAGGGGTAGCTAAGTAGCTCCCTGACTTATATATAAGTTCTAAATGAGTTGTAGATTTATGATTTCCCCCTTAACTTCTCCAGATAGTCAGTACTTAGAACCCAACTCCTCTTAAGGAAGGGTAAGTGGGGGCTGGAGAGATGGCTCAGCAATTAAGAGCACTGGCTGCTCTTGCCGAGGACCTGGGTTTGGGTCCCAATACTCACAAGGCAGCTAACAACCATCTGTAACTCTAGTTCCAGGGAATCTGACTCCCTCTTCTAGCCTCTGCAGACATTGTACCACATCAGCAAACTTACATGCATGCAGACAAAACACTCATACACATAAAATAAAAGTAAAAAATTTTTTGGTCTTTTTGAGACAGAATCTCTGGGTAGCCCCAACTGGTCTGGAACTCGCTATGTAGACCAGGCTGGCCTCAAACTCATAGAGATCTGCCTGCCTCTGCTTCCCAAGTGCTGGGACTAAAGGTGTGTGTGACCATACCTGGCTTAATTATTTTTTAATTCTTAAAAAAGAAGCCGGGCGTGGTGGTGCACCTTTAATCCCAGCACTCGGGAGGCAGAGGCAGGGGGATCTCTGTGAGTTCGAGGCCAGCCTGGTCTACATAGTGAGTTCCAGGAGAACTGGGGCTACAGGGAGACCCTGTCTCAAACAGACAGACAAAAAAAAAAAAAAAAAAAAAAAAAAAAAAAAAAAACCAGAGGGACTTGATAGATAAAATTCTTCCTGCTTCTCAAATCTCACAGTTCAGCCAAGGAGCAACTGGAGAGCAATCTGTTTGAGGTCCAACAGCAAAATTCTGTGATAGAGGTCACCAAGGGACAGCTAGAAGTCCAACTTCAAACTATTACTCAAGCCAAGGAAGTAATTCAAGGTGAGAGCCCCTCTGGGATGGGGCATGCTCCATTCCATGGGAATATTAACAGCCAAAAGGCAGTGGGAGGCTTTCTCCAGCCAGACTTAGGGCCTCTGGGATGGGAGAGCAGGGAGAAACTTATTAGGTAAAAGGAGTGGAGCGGAGGTTCACAGCTGATCTTGTCTGGCATCCTAGGGGAAGTAAGGTGCCTGAAGCTGGAACTGGATGCTGAAAGGAGCCAGGCTGAGCAGGAACGGGATACAGTAGCCAGGCAGCTAGCCAGAGCTGAGAAGGAAGGGCAGGCAGCCCTGGAACAGCAGAAGGTGGCTCATGAGGAGGAGGTGAACAGGCTCCAGGAGAAATGGGTAGGTGATGGATGTGGTTGGGGATAGGTAGTATGTGTTTGTGTGTGTGTGTGCCTGTGTGTGTGTTGCTTATTTGTTTTTTGAGACAAAGTCCTGGCTGGCCTGAACTCACAGGCCAGTGTCAAACTCACAGAGATCCACCAGCCTCTGCCTTCCAGGTGCTAGGGTTTAAGGCATGCACTACCACACCAACTACTTAACTTTAAAAAAGGGGTGGGGGAGTAGTTTATTTATTTATGTTTGTCTGTGTCTTTGTGTCTGTGTATTATATACATGTGTGTGGGTGCACACAGAGGCTAGAAGAAGACATTGGATCCCTTGATTCTGGAGTTAACACTTGTTTATGGGCTACCAGACGTGGGTGCTGGGATTTAAACTCTAGTCCTCATGATTGAACAAGCAAGGGCTCTTAACTGCTGTGCCATCTCTCTAGCCCCATGCCCTCTTATATCTTGATGGCCCAGTAGTTTTAATAGTGACTGCCTATAGTTAGACCAATCCTAATAATTAGTAAAGTTTTTAGAGGTTACATTCCCTATTCTATTTAGTGCCTATATCTCCTGGACATAAGCACTTCTCCATGCCAAGCACCATGCTAAATGCTTTACTCACATAATAAATGTAGATAAATATTTAGAGAAGTCACTCAAGTTTACATGCCAATAAGTGACAGAACGGGGATTTAACCACATGATGCGCATAACTCACTGGTAGAATGTGACCTCAGTATGCAGGAAGCTCTGGCTATGATCCTCAGTACCGAAAGACAAAACTTGAAAAAACTCAAACTCCTAACCATTTATGCTAAGTCTACTTCTATGATAGTCCTACCAAGTGGTTCCTTAGCTTCTGTTGTATTCCAATATTAGCTGCCCACTTATTTCAGTTAGATTTAGTTATTGAAAAATTCATGTTAAGGGGGCTGGAGAAATGGCTCAGCAGTTAAACACTGAAGAGTGTATACGGCTCTTGTGGAAGGCCGGGGTTCAGTTCACCCACATGGTGACACACAGTGCTCTGTAACGCCAGTTCCAGGGATTCCAACACCCTCTTCTGGCCTCTGAGGGCACCAGGCATGCATGTGATGCATGTTCATACATTCAGGCAAACACCCATACACAGCAAATAAAAATAAATCTTTTTTTTCTTTGGTCTTTTTGAGACAAGGCCTCCCTGTAGTCCTAGCTGGCCTCAAACTCACTAGGTAGACCAGGCTGGCCTCGAACTCACAGAGATCCACCTGCCTCTGCCTCCCAAGTGCTGGGATTAAAGGCGTATGCCATCATACCTGGCCAAAAATAAATAAATCTTTAAAAAGAAAATCTATGGTAAGCCAAAATCTATTACTTTTAATCAGTCTTAGATTTACTTGAAATTCCTCCCCAGCATGGTTGCTTTTCTCTACATGTGGTACAGTGTACTCATGTCCCAGCGTGAATTTGACATTTTAAGAAATTTTACTAGTTAGACATGGTGGTGCATGCCTTTAATCCTAGCACTTGGGAGGCAGAGGCAGGCAGATCTCTGAGATTGAGGCCAACCTGGCTGATACAGTGAGTTCTAGGCCAGCTGGGGCTACAGAGACCCTGTCTCAAAAAAAAACCAAAATTTTTTTTTTTTTTTTTGCAGGGGCCATTTATTTATTTGTGCCTGTATATATGCATAAGTGTGTGCATACCACCACACATGTATAGAGATCAAAGGGCAACTTTTGGGAATTGGTTCTCTCCTACCAAATTGGTCCCAGAGATCAAACTTAGGTTATCAGGCTTGGTAGCAAGTGCCTCAACCTTCTGAGCCATCTCACAGGCCCAAATGTGGCACTTAAAAAAATATTATTATTGTGTGTGGATCTCTGTGAGTTTGAGACCAGCCTAGTCTACATAGGCCAGCCAGGCATGCTTGTGGAGGTCAGAGGACAACTTTTGGGAGTCAGTTCTGTCTTTCCAGTATAGATTCTGGGGGTGGAACTCAGGTCATCAGACTTGTGTGGTGAGTGCTTTTACTTTCTGAGCCATCTCATAGAATTCGGCACTTTGAACTGAGCATAATATTCTGATTATGGTCTAACCAGCAGTGATAGACTGCTACTTCCTGTTTTGATATCATAGAATTACTTCTCTGGTTGCTGGCCTTAGCACACTTTAGCACATAATAAGCAGATAGCTTAGTTTAGCTTTGCTTTGTTTTTTTTGGTCTTTTTTTTTTTTGAGACAGGGTCTCCCTGTAGCCCCAGCTGTCCTGGAGCTCACTATGTAGACCAGGCTGAACTCACAGAGATCCGCCTGCCTCTGCCTCCCAAGTGCTGGGATTAAAGGCGTGCGCCACCATGCCCAGCTGTTTTGTTTTTTTAATACTTACTGCCATTAAAATTCATCTTTCATGGGGCTGGAGAGGTGGCTCAGCAGTAAGAGCCCTGGCTGCTCTTGTAGAGGACCTGGGTTCAGTTCCTAGCACCCACATCTGGGCCCACCTGGGCTAACAACCATCTATAACTCCAGCTCCAGGAGATCCAATATCCAATGCCCTCTTCTGACCTCCACAGGCATTGTATGACACAGGCACATTGACATCCATTTAGGCAATACACTTATATACACAAAATAAAAATAATAAAATGCTTTTTAAGAATTCATCTTTCTCCAGGCATGGTAGTGCACACCTTTAATCCCAGCACTCAAGAGGCAAATGCAGACAGATCTCTGTGAGTTCAAGGCCAGCCTGGTCTACGTAGTGAGTTCCAGGACAGCTGGGCTACAGGGAGACCCTGTCTCAAAAAGAAAAAAAAAAAAAAAAAAAGAATTCATCTTTCACATATCCTTATTGTTGGCTTTTTGAATCAGAATGTAAGGTTTGTCATTCATGATGGTCCAGTAGTTGGTGTTACACACTGCTGCTCCTAGTCTAGTAGTCCAGCTGCTATTTTGGTCACTAACTGGTTCAGGCAACCTTAGTTGAGTACTTACTGTCTGGCACAATGCTGGTTGTTGAGGATACAGTTGAAAGTGAACTAGAAAGCTAAATGTAGTGATACACATCTGTAATCCCAGCTCTCAAAAGGCTGAGGGAGCAGAATGGAAAGTTACAGGCCAACCTGGACCAGAGGGAGACCTTGTCTTCGAATAAACAAAAGCAAAATTTTTAAAAATACCAGGAAACTAGCAAACTAGACCTGGTTCTCCTGGAGGTTGAAGAAGTCTTGGAGTAAGAAAAGTGTCACACTAGTAAGTGACCTTGAAAGTTCTATAAAGAAAAAGAGCCAGGCATTATGAGAAAGAATAACAGGGGACCCTTTGGCTTGTTTGCACTAGTAAAGCCTCTGTGAGGAAGTGTCAGTTAAAATTTGAGGAACAAGGAAGTGAGGAGGAGGCAGGGAAGAGAATTCCAGGAAGGAATTCTGGAGCAAAGCCGTAGGATATGGAAGGGTCTCATGTGGTCTAGAATCATAAGACCAGTTTAGCTGGAGCATGCTGAGAGGTGGGAAAGCTACACAGTGTGTTGAAAAAGCTGGAACACTGGAGGCACTCCTGGTCACCAGAGATGACAACTTTACCAACTGTATTAGTTACTTTTCTTATTGCTGTGACAAAATACCTAACAAAAACAACTTAAGGAAGGAAGGTTTCCTTGGGTTCATGGTTTCAAGGGACTTTAGTCCATCACAGCAGGGAAAGCATGGTGGAGCTCATGGTGACCCAAGTGTGTGGCAGAACCTCCTCACATCTTGGTGAACCAGGAATGAGAGCATTCATTATCTTTAGAGATTGGCCCCTAATAACCCACCTCCACCAGCCAGGGCCCACCTCACAAAGGCTCCACAATCTTCCAAAGTGGTTCTATCAGTTAGAGAATAAATATTCAAATACAGGAGCCTAATGGGAGAATTTCATATTCAAACCATAACATGAGCATTTCAGAGGAAAGGCACAGGAACTGCTGATGTGATGGTGGCATTAGTGCTTAGGTACTAATGACTAACGTGTGCTAAGCCCTGGTTAGAGATTTAGACCACTTACCTACTTACCTCATTCCTCAAAGCAACTCTAGAAGGACACTGTTGTTATTTCCATTTTTATACCTCAGAAAACTGAGACATGGAGATGTTTAGAAATTAACCAAAATCAGAGCTGAGAATATAATCCAGTTAGTAGATTGCTTGCCTACCATGCCTAAACTCTGGCTTCAGTCCCCAATATTGCTGGGCATGTCAGGGATGAAGAGATGGCTCAGTGGTTAAGAGCATTGACTGCTCTTGCAAGAGAACCCCAGTTGAATTCCCAGCACCCAAATAGCAGCTAACAACTGCCTGGAACTTCAGTTCCAGGGGATCTGATGCTCTTCTGACCTCCGCTGGCCCTGCACAACACCGGTGCACCTTACCTACATGTAGGCAATACACTTATACACAGATTTTTTTAATTAACTAATTACACCTGTAATCCCAGCATTTGGGAGGCAGAGGCAAATGGATCAGAACTCATGTTTGCGTACATTACAAGTTTGAGGCCACACTGAGCTACATGAGCCTTTTAAAATGAAAGAAAGATAGGCAGATCAAACTAATATTGGTAGATTAAAGACTGTCAGCCAGGCAGCCTGACATCAGAACCCTTTACCACCAACCTGATAACCTGACAGACAGTCTGGACTAGCTAGGAGAATGGAGAAAGGCTGTGATCAGGAGTCAGTTTCTGGGAGAATCTTCCTAATCTCTTGTATAATATAGGGAGATATCTATGCTGAGCCAGATATGATTTGGGGAGGGTCAATGTGGCAACCCTGAGCAGGGAGCCATTCACCTGTCTTATTACATTGTTGCAACTGCCAACCATGATGTGGTGGCTTTTAAAATAACAAATATAACTTATATGAGGTTTAGAATGCACATTTACATGTATTATAACACTTGAAAAAATAAATCACATTTGACTCATAACATTTGGTGATACATATAAGTCAGGATTAAGCCTCACTTCAGGAATCAGAAGACAGGCATAGAGCAGTACCCAAGTCACACAGTGAGGGAATAAAGAGATTCTTACTGCAGACCAATTCTCCTACCTCCTCTGGTTCTAACAGCATGGTTTCCTTCACATGCTCAGGAGAAGGAGCGCTCCTTGCATCAGCAGGAGCTGGATAAGGTCCTTGAGACCCTAGAGAGGGAAAGAACAGAGCTGGAAATGAGGCTCCAGGCACAGCAGACAGAAACTGAGGCACTCCTTGCACAGAGGGAAGAGGACCGGACCCAGGCCGAAGGCACCTTATACCAGGTAAGCAACTTGGAGAATTGGAACCATGTGATTGTCTTTCATTTCCCCAACCTCTTATGTTTCCACTCCTAAGAGTGGGATGACAGGAGGACCTCCAGAAGAGAGTGTAGCTGCCCACTTTGCTGCTAGTGAGTGGGGTGGTCCTGCACTGTTAGCTGCAAGGCAGGCAGTATGTCATACTTCCTGAAGGAGGGCCAACATTTACCACATCCTGTCAGTTTGCAAACCAGTGACAATCTTTATACTTCCTGGTTCTAAGTCAATGGGCTTAGACCGTCCTTTGCTTTCTGCCCTCAGCCTATTTGTTGGAAGATCTGTAGAACAGATTGGATGTGCTTATGGCCTGTGTGAGCATGAAAACCCGGAGCCATCAAGTCCTTGCCTTTCCTGCCCTTCCACAGATGCAGTTGGAAACCGAGAAGGAGAGAGTGTCCCTCCTAGAGACACTGCTGCAGACCCAGAAGGAGCTGGCAGATGCCAGCCAACAGTTGGAACGGCTGAGGCAGGACATGAAGATTCAGAAGTTAAAGGAGCAGGTATGGAGGGTGGTCCTGGACATTCATTCACCCATCCAACAATGAATAGTTCTTTGATACTTCTTATGTAGCAGACGCTGTATGAGAGGCTGGTACATTACAAGTACATAAAGGTGTGTGGCCCCAAATCATGGTTCCTGCCCTCAAAGAACTTGCATACTGATGGCAGAGACAGAAAAGGAGCAGACATAATAAGTACTGTAAAGAAAATAAAAATAAATAGGGGGCTGGAGAGATGGCTCAGCAGTTAAGAGCACTGGTTGCTCTTTCAGAAGACCCAGGTACTGTTCCCAGCACCCACATGGCAGCTAACAACTGTCCATAACTCCAGTCTCAGGGAATCTGATACCCTTTTTTGACCTCCAAGGGCATTGTACGACACGTGTGCACTTACATACATGCAGGCAATACACTCATACACATAAAATAAAAATAATAAAATTTTAAAAAAATAAAGAGACTGGAGAGATGGCTCAGCAGTTAAAAGCACCGGCTGTTCTTGCAGAAGACCCAGATTTGAATCCCAGCACCCACATGGTGGCTAACAACTGTCCCTAACTCCAGTTCCAGGGGAACTGACACCCTCTTCTGTTCTCTGTGAGCATTACATGACATGGGTACACTTACACACATGCAGGCATAACACTCATACACATAAAAAAAGGAAGAGAGAGAGAGAGAGAGAGAGAGAGAGATAGAAAATAAGTAGGATGATATGATTGAAGGGATTAAAAACAGGCCATAGTCAGGAAAGACCCCACTAAGAAAGTGATATTTGAGCTGAGACTTGAAGGTTAAAAGGATCTAACCCCATGGTACAGCATAGATGAACCTTGAAAATATTATGCTGAGTGAAAAAAGCTAGACACAAGAGGCTGTATATTCTATGATTCCACTCGTGAAATCTTCAGAAGAGGCAGATCTGTAGAGATAGTAGTGTAGTGATTAAAAATGGGGACAATGGGGTAGAGAATGGGGAATGACTGCTAATGACATGCTTCTGGGGTGATGAAAATGTCCTGCAATTGACTATGGTAAGTCAGGTGTGGTGGCTCATGCCTGTACTCCTAACAGTGGGGGAACTTCTGATCCTCCTGCCTCCACCTTTCACACATGTGGTCCATTCAACATACATGCAGGCAAAACACTCATACATATAAAATAAAAATTAAATTTAAAAGCAGAGATGGGACATGATTTTATGTACTCATATGTGTGTGTATATATATATAATATGTATTATTTTTGTGATGCTGAAGATCAAACCTAGGGCTTTGTGTATGTTAGACAAATATTCAACTACTGAATTACAAAGCCAGCCCAGGATATCCTTTTTTTTTAATTCCAAAGAGAGGCAATTTTTAACACATTTTTCCAGAAATAACTTGAAGCATGTTACATAAAAATATTTTCAATGTCCAAGCATGGTGGCATACACCTTTAGTCCCAGCACTCAGGAGGCAGAGGCAGGTGGAACTCTGTGAGTTCAAGGTCAGCCTGGTCTACATAGCAAGCTCCAGGCCAGCCAAGGCTACAGGAAGACCCTGTCACAAAAAAAAAAAAAAAAAAAAAAAAACTTTGGTAGAATAATGAAGACTTCCATTAGCTCTGTTCGTTTTGTTTTGTTTTGTTTTTGGAAACTCCAATGAGTTAACGAGTTTTTTGGGCTTGATAACAGAGCATAGGATTTATTTACAGAAGAGTGGCACCCCCACCATTTATGGCTGTGCTGGAAAATCCACTCAAATGTAGATCTGTGAGTTCCTGACAGCTGCACAAAATGGCGAGAGAAGTACCTCGTCACATTCGCAGTTTATATATCCTTAGCCCCTCCCCCACATGCAGCTAAGGTGGACTGATTGGGTGGGAGGGGTAACTGACTCCCCCACCAACACCTTGACAAGCGTGGGAAAGAGGTGTGACTATAGCTTGCCAGCTTAGTGGTTGGAGGACACTTCCAGGTAACACTCCACCCCTTCCTCTGGTTCTTACATTCTTTCCACCAACCTCTTCTGCAAAAGTACCTGAGCCTTGAAGGGGGTGATAGGTGTGGGATGATCCTTTTCCCATTGTGGCTAGGCACTGGACTTTCGGGTCTCTGCGTCATCTGTTTTCTATGGGCTATTGGCCCATTTCAGTGGGATTCCATCTACTATAAGAACACAAACAGCAAGAAACAAGAACATCTAAACAGTGGCTGCTATAACTTAACCTATGGGCCTAAACACAAATGCTTGGATGGTAATTTAGCAGGTGCATCACATCCATCTAACAAAACAATTGCAGTGGCTTCCCCACTAGGGCCTATATCCTCCCTGCCATAGGGGGTTGGCCTGGTCTACAGTACCTGATGTGTGTTACGCCTCTAGGAGTGGGCATTATATCCAATAGAAAATTTGCTGGTTGTACACTAGACTCACCACTATCGCACCAGCTGGAACATTTTGTTTGGCATGTTGATAGTGCAGCATGTGGGGTCTGTCGAGCAGAATTATAGGGGACAGTTCTTCCCCAGCCACCTGCATATCACCTTCTGACACTATGACAGCCATACATCCAGTGGTAGGGAATTTCCAGCTTAGTCCAAGCTTCATTTCTCCCTCTCCCACGCTCACATCATGTGTTGTCTGCAGAAATAGGTTTTACTGTCTACTTCCAGTGTACAACCAACATTATTGGCAGTGGACTTTATTGCTTTGGGGACCTCTAGGACCCCTCTGGCCAACAGCTCATGGGGGGGAACCCACCTCTGGCACTGGGATATTCATTTAACAACCGTATGGCTTCTGGTAGGGCTTCCTTTCATCCCCATAGGGTTCCTTCTGTGCTTAAGGCTTTTTTTCTTTTACTGTGTATCAGATGATATCTTTTTTTATTACTATTATTTATAGTTAGGTTTTTTTGGTTCTTTTTGGGGGCAGGGTCTCCATGTAGTCCTAGCTGGCCTAGAACTCACCATGTAGACCAGGCTGGCCTCGAACTCACAGAGATCCACCTGCCTCTGCCTCCCGAGTGCTGGGATTAAAGGCGTGTGCCACCATGCCAAGCTACATTTTATTTTTAATTATGTGTGTGTGTCTGTGTGGAGGTATTTGTGTGTGAGTGCAGGTGCCTGTGGAGGCCAGAAGAGGCAATTGTGAGTTGCTTGACCAACTGGGAACCAAACTCTGGTCCTATGCAAGATCAGTTTGGGCTCTTGACACCTGAGCCATCTGTCCCACTCCCAGGATATCTTTTTAATACAGTACTTGACTAAGCAGAGGTATGTGTGCATGTGTGAAGGGGGTATACTATGAAGTAGAAGTAAGGATAGTCAGGAGGCTATTAGATGGACTAGATAAGGGGCAGTTACCAACTCTTGAACTCTGCCCGGGAAGCCTGAGTGAGCCTATGCACTTATGGGGAAGCAATAGGAGTAGGGATGAGAATCCAAGTGGAAACAACATGGATTACTAGTTCCTGCCTCAGCTTTTGCCAACTCAGTAGGAAAAAGAATATTTACACAACACAGATTTTGGGTCCTAGCCCCAGAGGAAGCTTTCCTGAACTCACAGATTCTTCTTCCTCTACAGGAAACCACTGTGATGCTGCAGACCCAGCTTCGGAAGGCACAGCAGGAGCTAAAGGAGGCAGCCCAGCAGCACAGGGATGATATCATTGCCCTCCAGAAGGAGGGTAGTACCCTGCTGCAGGACAAGATAAACCTGCAGAAGCAGGTCTCTCCTGTCTACCTGCCCCAGAGCCCTTCCCAGCACAACTGGTTCCTTCCATTCCCTTCTCTGGGACAAGGAGAACCTGGGTCCTGTTACTTGAGCATGGGAGGACTAGGATAAGCCACAGTACTAAGTGGGGAGTTGAAGAGTGCTCAGAGCTGAGCATGTACCTCAGAGTTTATCCACAGATGTCACATCCACATATTGTACCAATAGCCAGTCAAAAATATCAAGGGAAAAAATTGAGTCTGTACTGTAAATGTACAGACTTCTTTTTATTCTTTTTAAATAATTTTTTAATATCTTATTTTCTTTTTATGTGTATGAGTGTATTGCCTGGATGTGTGTAAGTGCACCTGTATCATGCAAAGTACTAAAAGGTCAGAAGAGGGTGTCAGATTCCCTGGAACTGGAGTTACAATTGGTTGTTAGCCACCATGTGGGTGCTGGGAATCGAACCCTGGTCCTTTGAAAAGATGACCAGTACACTTAACTGCTGAGCCATCTCTGCAGCCTCTTCTTTTTAGTCTTTAAGCAATATGTAATAACCACTTACATAGTTTACATTGTATTAAGTATGATAACTGATCTGGAGATGATTTAAAGTTTATAGGAGAATGTGCATAGGTTATATTTAAATACTATCTGACTTAATCCCAGCACTCAGGAGGCTGAAGCAGGAGGACCACCAGTTTGAAGCCAACCTGGCCTGTATAGTGCAATTCTGTCCTTAAAACAAAAACAAACAGATTGGAAAGATTAAAGTGGTTGCTGTACAAGCATAAAAACCTGAGTTCAGATTTCCCAGCCTCACATGAAAAGCTATGTATAAACTAGACCTGGTGGCCCACACCTTTAATCCTAGCACTCAGGGAGGCAGAGGGGCAGAGTCAGGCAGATCTCTGTGAGATTGAGACCAGCCTGGTCTACATATCACATTCCCAGCCACCTGGGGCTATAGAGAGACCCTGCTCAAAAAAAAAAAAAAAAAAAAAAAAAAAGGCAGGCAGGGTGTGGTAGTACAAGCCTATAATCCTAGTTCTAGGGAGACAGAGACATGAGGATCCCTATAGTTTGCTGGCCAGCCAGCCTTGCTGAAGGTAAGCACCAGATTCAGTGGGAGACCCTGTCTCAAGAAAAAAAAATGGTGGAGAGTGACAGAGGAAGGAAGACACACAACGTTGACCTGCACATGCACTTGCGCTCACATATGAACACATACATAGCATACACAAAAGTACACACGACAAATACACTTCGCAGTTTATATCAGCATCTGCACATTTTGATGTCCAATGGAAATCAGTTGTAGGATACTGAAGGACTGCTGTCACTTCTTTGTCTAGAGTGATCTTAAGCTAAGATGCTCTCAGGCCCAATTTTAATTTATCTTCCTGTTCTCACCCTAAATCCAACATCTGTGTATACCAGATTTCTTTTTCTTCTCAGAATCCTATAGCAGATAGTGTTCTATTTTATTATTATTATTATTTTAAAAGGGGAGGGAGGCTGGAGAGATGGCTCAGAGGTTAAGAGCACTGGCTGCTCTTACAGAGGACCCAGGTTTGATTCCCAGTACCCACATGGTTGCTAACAACCATCTGTAACTCCAGTTCCAGGGGAAGCCAGCACCCTCTTCTGACCTCTGCAGGCATTGCATGACACTGGTGCACTTACACACATGCAGGTAATACACCACTCATACACATAAAATTAAAAAAAAAAGTTGGTCTCTGTGAGTTCAAGGCCAGCCTGGTCTACATAGTGAGTTCCAGGAAATCTGACGACCTCTTCAGGCCTCTGCAGACATTGCATGGTATATATATATTATATATATACACACATACATATATATATATGCAAGCAAAAATACTCTTACACATAAAATAAAAATTCTTTTTTGGTCTTTTTTTTTTTTTGAGACAAGGTCTCCCTGTAGCCCCAGTTGGCCTGGAACTCGGTATGTAGACCAGGCCTTGAACTCACAGAGATCTGCCTGTCTCTGACTCCCAAGTGCTGGGACTACAGGCGTGCACCACCACTCCTGGCCAATAAATTATTTTTTAAATACAGTCGCTATGTTTTTGCTCCTCACTGTGTTTTGTCATAATTTTATTCAGCCAAGATTTTTGTGTCTGCCTTTATGCAACATTTGTAAGACTGGAGACAGCCACCCAGGCTGAATGGTTTGGGAGATTAAGAACAGTGTAGAGAGTCCATCGAGGCATTTACTGCTAAGCCTGATGACCTGAGTTTAATCCTTGGGACCCCTGTGGTGGAAAGAGAAAACCAACTCTCTGATCTCCATAAGTGTGTTGTGGCATGTTTGTGAGTACATGTCCATGCACATAAATAAAAGAAAAAATTTTTAAAAACCAATAGTATAGGGATTGGTGCAACCTCCAGAACTCTGGAGACAGGCCATGACTGGTACAGCTTACCAGGACCCTTAAGCCCTAGTCTAGAAGCATCGTTCCACTTGCCCACTGGGCCTACCATCTCAGTCTCATGCTCTTAACTTTCCAGGTAGAGGACCTGAAGTCTCAGCTGGTGACCCAGGATGACTCCTACAAGCTGGTGAAGCAGGAGGTTCAGGAGAAGCTGAAAGAGGCCCAGGAATGTAGCTGGATTCAGAAGGAACTGGAGAAGGAGAAAGCCAGGTGTGTTAGAGAGCCAGCAGTGGCTTTTGCCTTTCTCCCAGTGGTCACTGTGGCACTGAAGGTTTAGTTACCTTTCATGTCTCTACTCTGGGGTAGCCATGTGGAGAGCACATGGTCTCTGCTTCAAATCTTATACTTGATTCACTTAATAAATATTTAGTGAGCACCCATCATGGACCAGGTACTATGCCAGAGTTGAAACATTGAAAAGACAATGTGGTCCCTACCTCAATAGAAGTTATATTTTGTTGGGGAAATTTTAATTGAGTAGTTTTTCAAACGAATTGTTACACATTATGATACATGGTGTAGAGAAAAGAAACAGAATATGACATGGAGGTCATGTGACATGGAGACCTAGTTTAGAAAGGCATTAGAGGTCTTTCCCAGGAGGTTGCATTTAAACTGAATGCTAGGGTTGGCAGGATGGCTCAGCTGGTAAGGGTGCTTGCTGCCAAGCCTACTGACCTGAATTTGAGCCTCAGGACTCACATGGTAGAAGAGAATCCACTCCCACAATTGTCTTTTGACTTCCATATGTGCTCTGTGAAATGCATATGTGCATACACATACACACAATAAATAAAGAAATGTAATTTTTAAAAATTAATAAAGTAGCTGGGCGTGGCGGCGCACACCTGTACTCCCAGCACTTGGGAGGTAGAGGCAGGCGGATCTCTGTGAGTTCAAGGCCAGCCTGGTCTACATAGTGAGTTCCAGGACAGCAGGGGCTACAGGGAGACCCTGTCTCAAAAAGACAAAAAATATTAATAAACTGAATACCAAAGGATCAAATGGAGCCACTCATGCAAGGGAAGAGAGTTCTGTGCAACAGGAATAGACACCATGGGCTGATGCAGATGGAAGCTTTCAGTGTGGTATAAAAAGCACAGTGAACACCCAGTGCAAGGAGCCTGTGGAGTGTTAAGTTTAGAAGGAAACTGCTAGAGGATTTTGAGTAAGGAAACCAACATTATCCAATCTATGGTGTGTTCAAAAGGATAGTAATGGCCTGGAAGTTCTGGAGTGGCGTGAGTCCATTCAGAATGGAGAGCAGCATGCACTCAGCTGTAGGAGTCTGAGAAGGGACAGATCCTTTTGGTGGTGACAGTAGAGTCAGAAAAACAAGTCAGGAGGCTGGTATGTGTCCAGATGGGAGCCAGACTGAGCCAAGGTAGGTAGTAGGAAAGGGGAGAAGTTTAAGGTGCATTATAGAAGCAAGACAATTATGTTTAGTGATGGATTTGGTATGGGTAGGATGAAGGAGGAACACAGAAATGATCAAGGTTTCTATGTTGTAGCACTGTGTGGATGAAGGAACCATTCACAGAGCCAGGAAACAGTAAGAGATGATTGGGTGGGAAGTTGGGGTTACAGAGAGATGGGAAGAATGGACATAGTGAATCTGAGGCATGTGCATAAATAGATGTGGAATTTAGCAGAGAACAAGAAATTTGGGAATGAGTTCACATATACATTAAGTACCTAGGAATCCTTAGAAGGTGTTCAACAAATGGAAGCTTTTCTCATGACCCCATAATCATCATTACTTTATCTATTTTAATTAGTAATTCTATGATTAGAATAGTCAGGTGAAAAGATTCTCACTCCCAAAGAGAGAATGACCTAGGTCTCTGGCCTCTTTTTAGTCTGACTGTGTTGCTGTTGGAAAAGGAAGAAAGACTCCTTGTTTTACAAGAAGCCGACTCTGTTCAACAGCAAGAGCTGAGCTCGCTGCGCCAGGACATGCAGGAGGCCCAGGAAGGGCAGAGAGAGCTCAGTGAGCAGGTACTCCCTACCGTGACTGAGCCCTCTTTCTTAGAGGAGTCTGGGGTGACTTCTTTTTAATAACAGGATAGGCTGAGACCTCAGCAGCCCTGGCAGAAGAAAACCAGGACCAGGCAAGGTAGAGGCTTGGGAATCTGACCCAAAGATGAGGCCCCTATGGGGAGCCTGACATCCTGACTTGAGTGTCCATGTGGACCTAGTTCATGCACAGCCACCGCAAATGTGCCTAATCTTGTTGGAGGAACTTGCAGGGTAGTACAAAATACCCCAGATCAGGTAGGCAGCTGCAAGAGGACTTCCAGGGACTAGTGTGCTCACAGCAAGACCCTCAACCAGAGTCTGAAGGAGAGGAGTTAGAAGGGAGAGTGAGGGAGTAAGAGCTGGACAGTGGCAGGACACAGGTCTGCCTGCTGGTCTTGTTTGCTCCTTGTCAGCGATTCTAACAAGTCTAATCACAGCAGGGGGCTGGCATGTCTATCTGCCTGGAAAAGCAGAGCCAGAGCCCAGTAGTGTAACCTGGGCCCGTGTGTTAGGAGTGGATTACCCCCAGGTGTCAGATCTATACTACTACTCACTTCAGAGTCCTCTCTAGCTGCTGGAGAACTGAGCCTGCTGAAATTCTCCCCAGCCAGCTTTGCTCAGGGATTGAGTAGGGTCATTCAGGGGAAGATCTGAAAAGTAGCTACTCCTTACTCAGTCTGTTTCCTCCTGACAGGTGGAATTTCTGAAGCAGGAAGTGAAGGAAAAGGAGGCTGACTTTGCGGCCCAGGAAGCACAGTTGCTGCAGGAGTTGGAGGCCTCTAGGATAACAGAGCAGCAACTGCAAGCTTCCTTGTGGGCCCAGGAGACCAAAGCAGCCCAACTGCAGCTGCGACTGCACAGCACTGAGAGCCAGCTGGAGGCATTGACTGCAGTGCAGCAGCCGGAGAACCAGGCCCAGGCCCAGCTGGCCAGCCTCTACTCTGTCCTGCAGCAGGCCCTGGGGTCTGTATGCGAGAACTGGCCTGAGCTGAGAGATGGGAGCGACTCTGCTTCCTCTCCCTGGGGTCCTGAGCCAGGTATAGTCACACAAGAACTAAATCCTGCGGGCCAAAGCCAGCCGTAGTTCCCAGGGGAGAAGGGAGGGGAACATAGCGCCTTTGGGAAGGTTGCGTCAAGGTTAAGGCCACAAATACTGCCATTGATTTCATGTGAGTTTGAGCCCCAGGTCTGTCATTTGGTAGCAGGCAAGTCACCTAATTTCTCTGAACTTGATTTTCTTTGGCTATAAAATGGAAGTATTAAAGAGTTAAAAAGTTTTAAGAGTATTTCTAAGGAATGAATGAGATTACAGATGTAAATAGCTAGATGGTGCCTGCCTATAATCCTAGCACTCAGAAGGCAGCAATAGGATTCTAAGTTCCAGACCAGTCTGGGCTACATAGTGAGTTGCTGGGCATGATGACACATGCTTAGGGGTTGAGGGGAGAGGCACAGGAAGAGTGCAAAGTCATCCTCAGCTGCATAGCTTGGGCTACAACAAGACCCTGTCTCAAAACAAACAAAAACAACAACAACAACAAAAAAAAAAAACCAAAAAACGCAGATGTAAATGTCTCATACAGTTCCTTGTACTTGAATACTTAGCAGCTGATAGCTAGCATTACCCAGCAGAGAGTGTGAATAAACTTCCTACAGGAGATTTTTTGAGGAGAGGGAGATCAGTGGGAAGGCTACTTACGGTGACAGCCAGGTGAGAAGGATTTTCTTCCTTTCTATAGATCAGAATGGAGCTAGGAGCCTCGTTAAGAGGGCGCCCCTCCTTACTACACTGTCAGCTGAGGCTGTGGCTGTGGCTCTCCAGAAGCTTTACCAAGACCTGTGGAAGACACAGCAGGCCCGGGTATGTTCTCTGCCCTTCTACCTTTTCCTGAGGTCCTCACCCCCGCATTCCTCTACCTTGCCCAGTGTTGTGAGGATTAACCAAGTGGGAGTCTTGAAAGAGCCCTATGAACCATGAACCCCAGAAAACAAGACTTTGTTTTATATTGTTTTCTTCTCATCCAAGAATTTATTATTTTTTTAAATTTTGTTTATTTATTATTTTTATTTTATGTGTATGAGTGTATTGCCTGCATGTAGGTAAGTGCACCCGTGTCATGCAGTGCCCTCGGAGGTCAGAAGAGGCTGTCGGATCCCCTGAGACTGGAATTAAAGACAGTTGTCAGCTGCCATGTGGGTGCTGGGATTTGAACCGGGTCTTCTGCAAGAATAACCAGTGTTCTTAACCATTGAGCCATCTCTCCAGCACCCCCCAAGAATTTATTCTTTGTATCAAACCCTCTGAGAAAAGTTCAGTAAGCTGGGGACCATTGAGATTTGAGGATGCTGTTTATAGGAACATTCTAGAGTTAAGACTGAACTAATTCTACCTCACTTGATCCTGTCAGTCCATAAAAACTGAGTGCCACCTGTATACCAGCCCCTTGGAGCTGAGGATACAGAAAAGAAAAAGACCTGATCTCTGTGATAAACAAGGTTCATGACACAGTGGAGACCAGGCTGCATTCTGATATCAGAACTGACGTGTGGTTGTCAGTAACAGACATGGTAGTGCACTGTTAGAACTAGGGGGAGTGTCAGAAGGAAGGAAGGAAAGTGTAACTTTAGGCTAAGTTTTTTTCTTTTTTTAAAGATTTACTTATTAGTTTGTTTTTATGTGTGTGTGCCTGAGTGTATGTATGTACACCCCATGTGTGCAGGCAGTTGTGAGCCACCATGTGGGTACTGGGAACAGAACCTAGGTCTTCTAGAAGATCAGCAAGTGCTCTTAACTACTGAGCCCTCTCTTCAGCTCCTTGGACAAAGCTCTGAAGTAGGCATTTGGAAGAGAAGAGGAGGGCCCTGGAATAGGACACTGAGCAAAAGAAAGAAGCCAAGCATGGTGGCACATGCCTGTGATACCAGCACCCAGGAGGCTGAGGCATGAGGATCAGGATTAAGAATCTAAGACTGAGTTATGTAGCAAGACCTTATCTTAAAAAAAAAACAACAACAACAACAAAAAACCCACCAGGTATGGCACACATGTCTGTAATCCCAGCACTTGGGAGGTAGAAGAAGAAAGATCAGGAGTTCAAGACCAGCCTTGATTATCTAGTGAGTTTGAAGCCAGCCTAGACTGACAGAAAACCTCTGAGAAAACAACAACAAAAACATAGGCCCAAGGGCATTCCCCGCTCCATCAGATGAAGCACAGTCCACCCTCACTTCAGGGAGCTAGATACATGCAAGTTCAGAGATAAATTACTCATCAGTCCGACAATAGGGCCATGATGACAGAGGCTTTGTAATAAGGACAGTTTGAGACCTCAGTGGGATAACTTTATACAGACAAAAAGCACAAGTCTAGTCCTACCTTTCCTTTCCCAGGATGACTTGAGAGACCAGACCCAGCAGCTGGCTCAGAGTCTGACTGATGCCGAGGCCCAGAAGAGCCAAGTCTGTTCCAAGTTACAGGACCTGCAGAGGCAGCTCTCCCAGAGCCAGGAAGGTAAGCTGCTCAGGCCAGTAGGTTTAAAGGAGAAAAGATGACAGATGACAGCCCAGATGTGACAGGAACTAGGAGACAGTATCCAAGACATCTGTGAAGGGGGAAAGAGCCTATTAAACTATTTTTCTGCTTTGCTTGGCTTTTGAAAGAAGGGGTTAGGAGGAACAAATTTGGTAAAAGGAAAGAAGTTGCTGCCTCAGCTACTGTTTTCTGTCACTGCAGAAATTGTTTTTAAATTACATTTATATATATATATATATATGTATGTGTGTGTGTGTATGTGTATATACATATATATATATACATGGCATGCATGTGCCATAGCCCATGTGTGGAAGTCAGAAGATAATTTGGGTAGTTGGTTCTCTCCTTCCACCATGTAGGTACCATGGATGGAACTCAGGTTGTCAAGGCTTGGCAGAAAGTACTTTTCCCTTCTATGCCATCTCACCAGCCCCTGAAGGAGATTTCTTAAAAATATTTTTGTTTTATGTATATGAGTATATTACCTGCATGTATGTGCATGCACCCATGTTGTGCAGATTTCTTTAAAAAAAAAAAAAAAACACCGAACCTATCAGAACATAGAATTCTTTTCTTTTGTCATTTATCCATTTTGTTTATTTTTATCATTTCCAACTATATCCTCAAAACTAGCCTTTGATGGCAGAAGAATTATGGACTTACTGGGGAAAAGGCCAGGGTGGGGAGTCAGGGAGAATACGTCCTGCACTGATCCCTTGGAAAGGAAGAGAGAGAGAACAGTCTTGAAGCTCAAGGTTCTCTGTAGAAGTGGAAATTGGGGTGGGGGGTCTGGGCCTTTTGGGGGCATTTAAGGATTCCCTGAGATCCAACAAACACCTGGCTTCTGGGGCATCTTCAGACTTGAGGGCAGCTGGCAGAGCCACCAGGCCTCCAGGAACCTCTACAGACTCATATCATTTAGGACTGGAAGGGACCCCCTACTGTCAGCCAGGTCTCCCATTTGCAGACCTAGGCTGAGGACCTCTGGGTGATTGGGATGGGGAAGTATTTGGATGATTATGAGGCAGTGCCAGGGCTGGCAGCAGATACAGGGGTGAGTCTGGAAGCAGCAGGGAGCAGATGAACATCTGGCAGTTGGGTAATGTCAGGACGCTGGAGTAATTCTCTCCTTGGGCTCCTTCCCCTCTGATTCTGATCTTGGTTCTCCATCTGCCTCTACACCCATGTCCTCTCACCCGCAATTGTGCACCTAAATCTACCACCTTTGCTCTTCTCAAAGAGAAATCCAAGTGGGAACGAAAACAGAATTCCCTGGAGTCTGAGCTGAGGGACTTGCATGAGACTGTGGTGTCCTTACAGAGTCATCTACAGCAGGCAGAGCTGCAGAAGATGGAAGCTCAGGTAAAGTACTGGCTTAGGGGAAAGACACCTCAATAAAGTTCAGAGTTCTATCTCTCAGGTCCACCCTGGCCTGTGTGCATGTGCCCAGCTTCCTTCAGCAAGTCTCAGGGTTCCTCTGGCTATTCCTATGTCCCTGAGGCCCACTATTAAAGTCATAGTGATTTCTGAATTAAGGTTGAGACTCTTGTCCCTTGCCCTGAAAGACCAGGGTCTAGGATGCTTCTTTTGTGCCAGGCTATGCCCCTGAGTATAGAAGAGCAGGATCAACTGAAGTGGAATACCTCACTTCCTTTGTCCTTAAGGCCTTGTCATTGCTGGTGTACAAAATAAGAGAGAAAGGCCAGTGTCAAGGGGATAGTCTAGTCTAAGGGTGTTTTGGTCTCTCGTTTTCAGAGTGAGCGAGAGTTGCTTCAGGCATCCAAGGAGAACCTGACAGCCCAGGTTGAACACCTGCAAGCATGTATTACAGAAGCCAAGGCTCAGGCAAGTGCTGCTGGTGTCCTGGCAGAAGATCTGCGAATGGCTCGCTCGGCTCTGAAACTGAAAAATGAGGAGGTAGAGAGTGAGCGGGAAAGAGCCCAGGCTTTGCAGGAGCAGGGTGAGCTGAAGGTGGCTCAGGGGAAGGCTTTGCAAGAGAATCTAGCCCTGCTGGCCCAGACCCTGTCGGAAAGAGAAGGGGAGGTGCAGACTTTGCAGAGAGAAATCCTGGAACTAGAGAAGCAGCGGGAAATGCAGAAGGCTGCTCTGGAACTGCTGTCTCTAGACCTGAAGAAAAGGAACCAAGAGGTAGATCTGCAACAAGAGCAGATTCAGGAACTGGAGAGGTGCAGGTCTGTGTTAGAGCACCTGCCCATGGCTGTCCAGGAGCGAGAGCAGCAGCTGACTGTACAGAGAGATCAGATCAGAGAACTCGAGAAAGATCGGGAGACCCAGAGGAATGTCTTAGAACATCAGCTTCTGGATCTTGAAAAGAAGGCCCAAGTGATTGAGTCCCAGAGAGGGCAGATTCAGGATCTGAAAAAGCAGTTGGTAACTCTGGAATGCCTAGCCCTGGAACTAGAGGAAAGCCATCACAAAGTAGAGGGCCAGCAGAAGGTGATTAAGGAACTGGAGAGCCAGAGGGAAATGCAGAGGGTGGCTCTGACCCATCTCACACTGGACCTGGAAGAAAAAAGCCAGGAGCTGCAGGCACAAAGCAGCCAGCTCCATGAACTGGAGAGCCACAGCACACTTCTGGAACGAGAGCTCCAGGAGCGGGACCAGGAGGTGAAGTCCCAGCGGCAGCAGATCGAGGACCTGCAGAGGCAGAAGGAGCATCTGACTCAGGACCTGGAGAGGAAAGGCCAGGAGCTGATGCTGCAGAAGGAAAGGATTCAGGTTCTGGAAGACCAGAGGACACTGCAGACCAAGATCTTAGAGGAGGACCTGGAACAGATTAAGCTGTCCTTGAGAGAACGTGGCCGGGAGCTGGCCTCACAGAGGCAGCCTATGCATGAACAGGCAGAGGAAGGAAAGAGCCCTGGTAAAGCACAGCGTGGGAGCCTGGAACACTTGAAGCTGATCTTGCGGGATAAAGAGAAGGAGGTAGAATGCCAGCAGGAGTGCATCCAGGAACTTCAGGAACATAAGGACCAGCTAGAGCAGCAGCTCCAGGACCTGCACAGGAAGGTAGGTGAGACCAGCCTATTCCTCACCCAGAGAGAGCAGGAGATAGCTCTTCTACAGCAGCACCTCCAGGAGGCCAAGGAACAAGGAGAGCTGAAAGAACAATCCCTTCAGGCTCAGCTGGAAGAGGCCCAGAGAGCCCTGGCCCAGAGGGACCAGGAACTCGAGGTCTTGCAGAGAGAACAACTGCAGACCCAGGACCAGGAGGAAAACATGAAGGAAAAGGCAAGTGCGCTCCAGGCTGCTCTAGAACAGACCCATATGACACTGAAGGAGCGCCAGGGAGAGCTGGAGGAGCACAAAGAGCAGGTGCAGAGACTTCAGGAAGAGCTGATGGAGGAGTGTCGGCAGGTGCAGGCCCTAGAGGAAGTGTTGGGAGACCTGAGGGCTGAATTTCGAGAGCAGGAGAAAACTGTGCTGGCTCTTCAACAGCAGTGTGCCGAGCAGGCACAGGAGCATGAGGCAGAAGCCAGGACCCTGAAGGACAACTGGCTCCAGGCCCAGGCTGTTCTCAAAGAACAGGAGCAAGAGCTGGAGGCTCTGCGAGCAGAAAACCAGTGCTCCCGGCATCAGGAGGCGGCTGCATGGAGCCAGGCGGAGGCTCTGCAGGAAGCCCTCAGCAAAGCCCAGGCTGCCTTGCAGGAGAAAGAGCAGAGTCTCCTTGAGCAGGCTGAACTGAGCCGCAGTCTAGAGGCCCGCTCTACCACTTTGCGGTCTACCCTGGATACCTACCAGGCACGTGCTCGGCAGCTGGAGGAGGCCCTGAGGAGGCGAGAAGGTGAGATCCAGGACCAGGAACTCCAACGCCAGGAGGACATGCAGCAGCTCCAGCACACACTTGACCAAAAGGAAGAAGAGCTGAGGCAGCAGAAGAAGCAGGGGCAGTTGCTAGAGACCCAGAGGAGTCATGAAAATGAGATTCAAAAGATGCCAAGTCTGCAGCAAGAGAGAGAAGAGGAGACAAGAGGCCTTCTTGAGAAGCTAACGGAGCTACAGTTGACTCTAGCCCAAAAGGAAGAGGAGATCTTGGAGCTGAGGGTGGCCTCTTCCCCAAATCACAGAGCTTTCCCATCAGAGACTCCATTTTCAAAATTGGATTCTTCAGTGCAGCAGGACTTGGAGCGGCTGCAGAATGCCCTGAGGCAGACAGAGGCCAGGGAGATTGAATGGAGGGAGAAGGCTCAGGACTTGGCACTGTCCCTGGCCCAGAGCAAGGCCAGCATCAGTAGTCTACAGGAGATAGCCATGGTCCTGCAAGCCTCAGTCCTAGAGCGGGAATCAGAACAACAAAGGCTGCAGGTGAGTCACTCCAGGGGGAGGAAGGGCAGGAGACAAAGTTCATTAGCTGAACTCAAGGGCTGCCTGCCTCTGGCACCTCAGAACAGATGAGAAAGCTGAGGTGATGAGAACTCCTCACCTCAGAACTGGCGTGGTAGGTGAGCAGCTGAGTGTGGTTAGTGCCTAATAAGGGAAGTTCGATGTGCTCCAAGCCTGCTGGAGGAACACCCAAGCTTTCCTGAGGGTGGCTACCAAATGGCAAAAGTGGTAAAAGTGGTGTTTAAGGTTTGGCTGAAAGGGGTAGTTGGGTAGGGCTTTCTGAGGAAAAGGCTGAAGAAATGAGGAAGGAGGAGCATATGGAGGTTCCTTGAAGGAGGTTTGAGTCCCCTGGGATGTAAATGGGGCCATTGACAAGAGAAGAGAGGACAGCATAGGCCGTGGCATTCAGGGTTTGTTAGATCCTGGGTCACTAATTGGAAGTGGATGCAAGGTTCAGGGCAGGAAAATAACACAATCAGAAGTATAGTTCAGAAACATTGCTCAGGCCTTCATGTAGAGCAACAGCAGACTTGGAAAAACCAACAGGGGCACTAATAGAAGTTCAGAAGAAAGGTAGAAACAAGATGGTAAGTGAATAGATTCAAGAGAACAGAAAAAAGTCAAAGATAGCACTAGGGTTTGTACCCAGAGATGAAGGAAAACACCTTTGAAAAAGGTGAGTTCAGATTGGAAGTGGAGCAAAGTACCTGACAGACATGCATAGGGAGATGTCCAGCAGGCAGCTCAGTCGGAGGCCTGCAGGTGAAGGGTAAGATAGACTGGGGACAGAGACTGAAGAGACAGAGACTAGCACTTAGGCACTCTGGAAGGAAGAGAGTATTGAGTAGAAAGTAAGTAGGTTGAGCATAGGGCTTCAGGATGTAGCATCTAACTCAAGGTCAAGCCCCAGGCCATCTTGGCACTGAGCCAGAGCTGCGCCTCTAAGTTAGGCTGTGGAGTACACAGCTGGGAACGCTGGTTTGACTGCTAAACATAGAGCATTGTTTCTTTTGCTAAGACAAATTAATCCATTTTCCTAAGGAAATTGACTGTGTTTTGGTCCTTTAACTGAGCCCAGAAAACCCTTTCTCTCACCTCAGACACACAACCTACAGTGACTTGCCTTCTGGGAGCTCACAAAGCTCTGCTCTGGTAACAGGGCTATATGTGAAGAAGGAGTTGTACTTGTACATTTTAGAATTGAATTCCTAGGTTGAAATAGGTTCTACAGTTTACTGGCTGTGTGATCATAGGTAGGTACCTTCACTTTTCTGACCTGGATTTCTAATGGATACCATAGGGAATGACAGTTGTAGTGAGGCTATGTGTTGTCAGAAAGAAAACACTCAAACAATGAACACCTTTCCTTTTTTTGTTTATTTAAGGAGGTGAGGGGTGGCACATGTGCCAAGGCTCACATGTGGAGATCAGAGACAACTTGCAAAAGTCAGTTCTGTCCCTTTACCATGTGGGTTCTGGGGATTGAACTCAGATTATCTGGTTTAGCAACAACTGCCTTTACCCACTGAGCCATTTGCTGGCCCTAGAATTCCTTTCCTATTTCCAGACCCATCCTCAAGCACAGCAAAAGGGAGGCAGATAATGGCAGGAGGGTACGTCCTACCCATGCACTTGGGTTACTGAACAGTGTTTGCTCAGTGGCGTAACTAGGGTCAGAGGCACTTCACCTGCTCCCCATCCTCGAACATTCAGAAGCCATTGTGGTGCTACTTCTTTTTATGTTCATGTGTATGTATCTGTATGAGTGATTGCCCTATGAATGCCATTGCCTGTGGAGGCCAGAAGAGGGCATAGGATCCCCTGGAACTGGAGGGGCTGTGCAGGTGCTGGAAACCGAGGTCTTCTCTGGAAGAGCAACAAGCACTCTACCACTGAGCCATCTCTCCAGCATCACCTCCTTTTTAAAGCATTTTTATCTATTTTGAACATTTTAATGCCAAGTACTGTTCTCATTTCTTCTAATCCCAATGAACTGTGTCCATTTCATAGTTGCGGAATGGCAGAGAGGTTAGCTTGTCCAAAGTCAGACATCTGGCAACTGGCTGATGTTAGATTAACAGTCAGACTTGGGTTCAGGCTTTGACCACTTGGCTTTTCCTCTCCCTGCGAGCCTCTGCCTCACACCTCACACACATATCCTCAGGTCTGTCCCCCACCCCCATTTTTGATGTTTTTGAGATGGTCTCCCTGTAGCCCCAGCTGGCCTAGAACTTGCTATGTAGACCAGGCTGGCCTTGGACTCAGAGATCCTCCTGCCTCTGCCTCCTGAGTGCTGGAATTAAAGGCATGCTCCACCACGCCCCATCCCCCTCTTGACCATTATTGTCTGTGAAGAGGATGGAAGATGAGGCAAGTCTGGATATGAAGTTGGCATAATGTGATTTTTGTCCCATACCCCAGGAGGAGTTGGTGCTCACCAGACAGGCCCTGGAGAAGGAGCAGTCATGCTGCCCACACTCAAGCAGCAGAGTGGACCGAAGGCCCAAGGCCGGCCAAGGTGTACATCCTGGAGAGGTGAGCTGGGGCTGTGGGAACCCGTGGTGCAGGAGAGAACTTGTTCCTTTTCTTTGGGAATTGGTCTCTGAAGCCCAGACCTGCCAAATTGGTCTCTCCATCTGCTCTTCCTGTCTGTAAGGCTGCCTAGATAAACTTCATGGGTCGTCCCTGCAGGTCTCAGGAGCAGAGGCTGAGCCTCGTCCCAGAATGAAGGAGGAAGAGCCATGGAGACAAAGGCTTGAACGGCTACAGCAAGCAGTGGCACGGCTGGAGGTTGACCGGAGCAAGCTGCAGTGTCACAATGCGCAGCTGCGGACCACCTTGGAACAGGTCAGTGACTTCTGCAGCCTTCAGCTCCCTCTCTAAGGAGCTGGGCATGCATCTTCACTTCTTGTGCCTGTTTCTCAAGTAAAGTTTTATTGGAATACAGCTGTGCGTCAATCTGCAGGTGCTTGCCTGCCACAGCAGGGGAGCTGAGTAGTTGTGACAGAGCTGGAATGGTCCACAAAACTGACCCTTGCTCTAAAGACCGGAGAGGTGACTTGCCACCTCTACCCCAAGAGCACTTCTTTGCACCCAGCACAAGACCTCCCCGGCCCAGGAGCCGTACTGCCCGTGGCTGCTGGCTATTTATGCTCACCCCTGTACATGTGCTCACTTCAAAACAAGACCTGATTTCTCACTTGCATCTTGGCAGGTGGAGCGAGAGCGGAGGAAACTGAAGAGGGATTCCATGCGTGCATCCTGGGCAGGGTCCCTGGACATCAGTGAAGGCACAGCCCCATCACCCACACAGCAGGTTTATTTTCTCACCTGCCCCCTTAGATGTGGAGACAGCCACTCCAGGCAATCCAGAGCCCCTTCTAGCTGGATTCTGCCCTACTTAGTCTGTTCTTGCTCTGAGAGGGAGATCCAACACCTGTGGGTAGGTGTGCAGTCAGGGCTACTGGGCTTACCTTCTAAGCAGTTCCACTCTATCCACTCCCAGACCAGTGCCTCAGGTTCACCTTGAGTCAACTAGAATCCCTGGCATCCAGGTATTTTGTGGTACTTACCAGCACCTGAAATGCCCAAGAGTTTGATTGAAACTTTGCAGTGCTCATAGAGCTCCTTACAGTACTAGGTTTACAAGGCTAGAGTTCATGGTACTTCCTGGAATAGAAGTGCTTTTTCAGGGAAAGTATTTGGGGAAGACCCCCTTAGCTATCACTGTTTTAGCTGAGGTGTGCTCATCAATAGACTCAGCCTTCTTGCCTGGAAAGGAAGAACTATTTCTGGTAGCTGAGCATCTCCAGCTCTCTACCCTACTTCCTTGAAAGCTTCTCAAAGGCAGACACTGTGTCTTTCTTCCTCTTTATGTCTGTGGCTCTAGCCCAAGGCTGGCACAGAATAGATGTATAGTGTACTTATGTTAAACCAAAAAGTTCCTCAGGGCTGGAGAGATGGCTCATCAGTTAAGAGCACTGGCTGTTCTTGCAGAGGACCCAGGTTTGATTCCCAGCACCCACGTGGCAACTAACAACCATCCTTACCAAGGAATCTAATGCCCTCTTCTGACCTTGGGCATTGCACGACACAGGTGTGCTCACGTACATGCAGGCAATACACTCATACATGTAAAATAAAAATAATTTTTAAAAATATATTTTTTTAAAAAGTGCCTCAAAGAAGCAAATGGCATCTAAGCCTTTGGTTGTTCTGCAGCAGAGATCCATGGGTGTTGCCCGTTACGCTGCCATGGGCCCCACTGGGCCTCCCCTTCCATAGAACCCATAGAGGTTCAGGCACTTGTAGCCTGTAGAGTTTAGGCACTTGTAGCTCACAAGCCCAGGCCCCTAGAGGTGGGATGAGGAGCTCAGTGCTGCCTGCTCAACAGATGGCCCTGCTGGAAGCCTCACTGGCCTTGAAGCTGAAGCAGAGACAGGGCTTCTGTGGAAACTCCAGAGCAGGAAGGCCCTCTTAAACAAGATTGGTCTTCCACAGGATGGAAGACGACAGAGGGGCTCCTCAGAAACCAAGCATGTGGCTGAACTGCAGAAAGAGGTATGTTCTGGAAGGATCCATCTTCTAAACACCCTTTCCCTCCTTGTACTGAGGCAACAAGGATTTAGAGTCTGCTATGTGCTTGGCCCTTTGTGCACCTCCAGCAGGGCGTGGGGAAGCAGCTTTGGCATTTAGAGAACTTTAGTTTCCATGAGAGGCAAGTGGGGCCCCAGTCCCAACTCCCTGGCTTATGCTTAGGGTGGAAGTGGGGCAGAAAGCAGAAGCCAGGCCAGTCTCCACAGTCATAGAAAGGAAAGAAACAAGAGAAGCAGACAGAGATCTAGGACAAAATAGATGAAGGAGCTGGCCTCTGCCTACAGGCAGGCAGGACTGTCACAGCACACCAGGCAGAGGGACCCATATATAGCTCAGGTCAAGCTGCTACACTCTGGGAAGCTAAATCAATGCCTTCCTGGCTCACCTAAGGCTGGCGCTCGCTCTCTCTCTCTCTCTCTCTCTCTCTCTCTCTCTCTCTCTGCCTAGGAGTAATAAGAAGTATAAATTTTTATTTCTGAGCCTCTTTCAGAAATCAGTAGTTACTGCTGGTGGGGCTGATTCTTTAGCAACAGTGAGGCAAAAGGACCTCACTTCTTCCTCTTGAACCTGGCTTTTACCTAGTGCACTGCTTTAGCTTTGCACCCCAGTGCCTCTTGCCTCATCTTAGTTCTAGACCACCCTAAGACCCCAGTCACTCACCTCTGGCTTACCTAGTATTCCCATCTGAAAAATGGGAAGTTTAGTCAGTGACTCTCAACCCTGTGCTCGTTAGAACCATCTGGGGGTTGGGGGGAGCTTTGGGAAAAAATACCGAAATTCAGGCCTCATACTCTTCTAGTTGAGCTAGAATGTTTTCTTCTAAAAACTTTGTGCACAGTTAAAATGTTCCATGTCTTCATTGGCATAGTGGTTATACATGATCATATCCACTATCAGACTCATCAAAATGCACACTTAACCCTGGACATGTGGCCGCATGTGGTGACGCACACCTTTAATCCCAGCACTCGGGAGGCAGAGGCAGGCGGATCTCTGAGTTCGAGGCCAGCCTCGTCTCCATAGTGAATCCAGGACAGCTGGGGCTACAGGGAGATCCTGTCTCAAAAAGACCGAAAAAAAAAACAAAAACAAACCCTGGGCACATATCACATGTAAATTATCCTTGTCTTTTTGGTTGTGAGCCTGAGCCTTTAACGGCTGTGTCAGCTCTCCAGCCCGTAAATTATCCTTTAATAAGTTGATTGCACCCAGTTTGCATCACCTGTTGTCCTAGTTCCATTTCCTGTTACTGTGATAAAACTACACTGACAAAAGCAACATAAGGAGAAAGCGTTCATTTACCTCCCGGTTCCAGATTGCAGTCGTAGCCGGAGGTCAAGGTAGCAGCTAGTCACATCACAGTCAGAATGCATGCATGCCCTACTACTCTGCCCTTTCTCTCTCTATTCCTGTACAGTCCAGGACCCAAACCCTAGAATGGTGCCTCCCACAGCAGGCTGGGTCTTCCCATATCAATTAATGTAATTGAGACAGTCTTCTATAGACATGCCCATATGCCCATCCTCATGTACACAATCCCTCTCTCCCCAGATGATTCTAGATTGGTTCACATTGACAATTAAAACTAATCATCACAACTGTGGAGCCAGGGTTGAGCATCCCTGGATTCTAAGTATGCAGGACCCTTCCTCCAAACATCCTAAAACTTGAATCTAAAATCCCTGTATGTGGCAGAGTTGACTCCAGTGTGGGGCCACAAGCCACAGGAGCACAGTACAGAAGAGTCAGGATAGCCATGGGGCCCTCAACTATTCTCTCTTGGTTTTCCTGCCCACCAGGTAGTCCTGCTGAGAGCGCAGCTGGCCTTGGAGCGGAAGCAGAGGCGGGACTACATCGCACGCTCAGTCCAGACCAGCCGTGAGCTAGCAGGCCTGCACCACAGCCTGTCCCATTCCCTTCTTACTGTGGCCCAGGCCCCTGAGGCCACTGTCCTGGAGGCTGAGGCCCGCAAGCTGGATGAGTCCCTGAGTCAAAGTCTAACATCTCCAGGACCAGTCCTGCTACACCTCAGCCCCAACACGACTCAAGCTACCCCCAGGTAGCAGCCATAGCCAGGGCAGAATACAAGCCAGCCTGGTGGCACACAGACAGATGACTGTGCTACAACTTTGCCAAAGGCAAATCTTAGCTCTGTTCCCAGGTCAGCTGACAATCCCAGGAAGAGAACAGAAACCCCCAGGACTGGAGAGGGTCCCAGCTCACATGGAAATGAGGCAGACATGTTTGCTTGATAACCTGCAGTTATCTATGAAGTGCCTTGCCCTGACCAAGCGCATCTGGTGTCCACACAGCCTGGAGGTCCAATGATGCCAACAGCATATAGGTATCCTGTCAGGATTGGGCGCATCCTGAATGCATCAAGTGCAGGGAGTTTCCATCACCCTCTTGTCTTCCTGTTTCTCTCACCTTCCCCTTCAACAGTAAACCCAGGATCTTCGCATTAGTCCTCAGCTGCTTGTGTTGCTTCTGTGATGGGCAGCAGCAGAAATTAAGGGAGCTAAGGAAGAATTTGCTGACTCCTGTCAGGTGGTATAAACTTACCGCGTGTTGTGCTATGTGATTGGGAAGGGTTACCTGCACAAGAAAGTCCCTGTCCAGCCTGAAGTTCAACTGATTAAGAACCTAGTAACAGGGTGTGCGAGATGGCTCAGAGGGTAAAGACACATGCTGCCAGCTTGGTGACCTCATTTCGATCCCACGTGGTAGGAGAAAACCAACTCCTTCAAGTTGTCCTCTGACCTCTACACATGCACACTGGCACATGCACACCCACACACTAAAATAAGATAATATAACCAAGTAACACATTAATGAGTTAAAGACCATTCTGTGTCTGAGCAGAAATGCTATAGAAATTCCAAAGATTAAGCTAGGGAATTACCCACTGACCCTTGGATGGAGGAGGTGAGGGTGCTGCTAAACACACTGCTGGTGAAACTCATCTGGCTGTGGCAGAGGGTGGGCTGCAAGGCTGGGGACTAGATACGGAAGGCCCCTAGTTCTAATTCAGACAATGAGTAACCACCAATATTCTTTACTTAAAACAAACTCTTTGAACTGGGCATGGTGGCACATGCCTGTCGTCCCAGCACTTGGGAGGCAGAGGCAGGCAGATCTCTGAGAGTTCAAGGCCAGCCTGGTCTATCCCAGGACAGCTGGGGCTACAGGGAGACCCTGTCTTCAAAAAGAAAAACATTTTGATCTTTGACTGAAGTCAGAGTCTTGAGTTGAGCTCCATCTGGCCTGATTGCCCATGACAGGTAGTTGTCTGCCTGAACACCCTTAGATGTCCCTTCCTGGGCACATCAACTAGAACTGACTGTGGCCCCCTTCATCCAACTATGTGTCAGACTAATCAGGAGCATGGTCTTTGGCAGAACCTGTCACTTATAGGGGCCTAGAGAGATGGCTCAGAGGTTAAGAGCACTGACTACTCTTACAGAGGACCCAGGTTTAGTTCCCATTACCCACATGGCAGCTAACAGTTGTCCCTAACTCCAGTACCAAGGGATCCAACACCCTCTTTTGGACTCTGTGGGCATTGCATGACACAGGTACGCTTACATATAGGCAGGCAAATCCCTCATATACATAAAATAACTTGTCACAGATTGGGCCTGGTGGATGCAGTCTGGGCAGAATCTAGCTCACAAATGTAAGATCATTGTTGGTGACATCCTCAGCCAGGCGTGGTGGCACATGCCTTTAATCCCGGCACTGGGAGGCAGAGGCAGGTGGATCTCTGTGAGTTCAATGCCAGCCTGGTCTATATAGTGAGTTCCAGGCCAGCTGGGGCTACAGGGAGACCCTGTCTCAAAAAAGACCTAATTAATTAACAGTAGTCCTCCTCTCCTTCCTTCCCTTTTGCAGTGTTAGGGATAGGACCTAGGGTATTAAGGATGCTAGGCAGGAGTTCTACCACCAAGCCATATCCCCAGCCCCCAGGGAGTGTTCTTGTTCCCAGTGTTCTGTACTGGATCTGAGCAGCCTGGGCTCACTATTTTTGAACATATAAGTCCTTAACCAGTGTGTGTGTGTCTAATTCTTTCTAGTTCCCTGTACTAAATGGTTTTTCTGAAACCAATAAAATTAACCTGATATGTTTGATCATGCCTCTCATTAATAAATAAGGTTGCAAGCAGCTGCCTATGAATTACTATGAATGTAGTAACCTGAAGACTCTGTTACTACAAATGCCCAGAACTGCTGCATAAAATGAAATATTAAAAATCATATAGGGGCTGGAGAGATGGCTCAGAGGTTAACAGCACTGGCTGTTCTTGCAGAGGACCCTGGTTTGATTCCCAGCTGGCAGCTAACATCCATCATAGCTCCAGTTTCAGGGAGGCCCTCTTCTGGCCTCCATGGGCATTGCATAACATGAGTGTACTTAGATGCAAGCAAAACATGCAGACATAAAATTAAAAAAAAAAAAAATAGTAGGGCCAGTGAGTTAGCTCAGTGGCTAAAGGCACTTTCTGCCAAACCTGATGACTTGAGTTTGATCCCTGAGTTTCATATGGTAGTTAAACGTTTAACTTTTATCTGGTTTTGAATGTGTAATATGGGTCTGTGGCTCATAAAAAAATATTCAGTGTTCCCCACCTGCGGAACCTCACCCCAGAGGCAATTTTGACCCACTCCTGCATGATCCAGGGGATGATACAGAGAAGTGACCATAAACATTGCCTCTGGCCAGGCTAGGCATCAGATAGACAGATGAATAAACATTGTCTCTGAGAATTGACCCTTCCCCAGATACTTTGCTTGCAATAAGAGAACCAGGCCAAGATGTTATTCAGTACTAGACTGATTTTCATAGAGTTTTGCTCTTTACCCCTGAATGTCTTCAGTTATGTGGCTGTTGTGATCCTAAGAGTCACCAGCATTCAAGCTTCAGCTAGTTGTCACATGTGAATGGTAGCCTTGCTGTGCATCTTAGCTAACAGGCAACTTCCATTTCTGCTTCTCGGATCTACATGGACAGGCCTTCTCTCTTTGGTCTGATCATTCTGCTAGGAATGGGATCACTTTCTTTGCTGTTCCGATCCAAACGCAGAGAGGGCAGCCTTGCACAGAAAATAGGGATATGTGTGTCAGCAAGCTGGATCCTGTTCTTCACTCCATGTTCCTCATTCAACATCTATGTGACAGACTGTCTCAGGAGCTGGGAGAATCAACCTTACCTTTTCTATGGAAGACAGAATCTAGACACAGTATGATAAATACTTGAAGAGTTACCCTGGACCTAAAAAGAGCATCAACCAACTCTTCCCTAGTGCACTCTAGAAAAAGGATTCCAGGCAGAGGGAAAAGCATGAGAGAGAGAATGTACCAGTGTAGGAGAGAGGAGGGCAGGCAGGAGTCAGAGCACACAGGGTCTTGAGTGATAGACACAAAACCTAAGTCTCTATGCTGAAGATACTGGAGAAGTTTAAAAAAAAAACTTTATTGAGAATTTCATATATGCATATAAGGTTGATCAAATCCATACCCATTCCTGACACTGGAGAAGTTTTAAGGAAGGTACAAGAACCTTACCTGCACAGGTGTGCAACACAGAGCCATGAGCTCTGGTGATTTCTGCTGACCCTGGTTATCCTGCTAGATGTCCTGATTCTAGTTTCTTGGCTGGCCTGAGGCCCTTCCCACAGCAGATCAGACCCACATCCTTCCTCTGTATCCCTTTACCTTAACTATCTCATACCACTAGGGAACCAAACTATCTTCCGAATATTGAAGGTGCTGGAGAGATGGCTCAGCAGGTAAGAGCACTGGCAGTTCTAACAGAGGATCCAAGATGGGTTCCCACCACCCACATGACAGTTAACCTGTAACTCCAGTTCCAAAAGATCTGATGCCCTCTTCTGGCCTCCATGGGCATTGCACACACCTTGTGCACTTATATACCTACAGGCAAAGCACAAATACACATAAAACAAAAATAAATTTAAAAAAAATTTTTTGGTCTTTTTGAGACAGGGTCTCCCTGTAGCCCCAGCTGTCCTGGAACTCACTATGTAGACCAGGCTGGCCTTGAACTCATAGAGATCCACCTGTCTCTGCCTCCCGAGTGCTGGGATCAAAGGTGTGCGCCACCATGTCTGGCTCAAATTTTAAGAAGGATTGGAGATGATGAAATTTCGGAAAACTCCTGAGACCTGGGAAAATCCTGCAGGTTCTCCCATCAAGTCAGCATAGACTCCTCAGAGTTTACTCCTGTCTTTTCAAGGTGAACTCCCCTTATCCCTACACGGAGCATGTCCAGCAACCTCTCTATTACCTTGTCACTTGGAGTACCTGAGGTCCACACCAGATCAGAAAGCTGCAGTAACCACTGTTGCCTCCAGGAACCCTGGTCACTGGCATTCCTGGGACAGATGGCAGGCCCTGTGGTTTGGTTCCTCATATCTGTCTCAAAGTGCTGAACAGAGGCCTGGTTCATCCTGGGAAAGACAGAAAAAACTGACAGCATCTGGGGCAGGCCTGACCTGGGCCCTACTTACTACCCTAACCTCAGAACCCACCTGAAAGCCATGTAGCATTGGTTGATACTGCTGAGGCCAGAGTTCCCCAATGCGACACAAGGTACACAGTGGAAATCAAAATGGTGCATCAGTGGTTTAAAAATCATGTCCAAGGCTGGGCGTGGTGGAGCACACCTTTGATCCCAGCACTCAGGAGGCAGAGGCAGGCAGACCTCTGAGTTCAAGGCCAGCCTGGTCTACATAGTGAGTTCAGGACAGCTGGGGCTACAGGGAGACCCTGCCTCAAGAAGACCAAAAATAATAAATAAATAAATCACGTCCAGTAATTTCCTCCACGTTCTGTCAAGCTCACTCACTGGATTAATGCCCTGTCAAGCTCACTCACTGGATTCATGCCCTGGTAACAGCAGGAAGAGAAGGTGGGGCTCTGGGGCCAGGCATCAGTTCCCAATAGAAAGAGGTATACCTAAGTGAATGGGATTGGGCTGAGGCTGAAGAGACATACACAAAGTAAAGCTAAGAGAGGGGTCTGGGCCAGAAGATGGGAAATGGGCTCAGCCCCAGTACTGACCACTGACCAGCCACCAGAGAACTTTTGTTCTTCTCAGGTACCCTGTGGTCTTCTCATAGCATGCCTCAAACCAGCTCCGTTCTCTACCTGTAGTGGCAGAAGGAGCAGTTGAGGGCCATAGAGTAGCAGCCACATTTCCCAAATTTGAACCAAGGATATTTACAATGCTGTGGTACCAAGTATATCCATTTTTCCTGGGGTCCTGATTCAGGTGTCAGATCCAGGCAGGGAGCCATCAGCCACAAGATGAGCCCCCAAAAGACCCAGCAGTACTTCATGTCTGTTCCAGACAATGGCTCATGTGGCAGGCAGCAGACTGGCTTCTCTACCTGGAAGGACGTGGGGCTGAGACCTGGAACAGTATCAGCTTCCTTCTAGTCTGCTGGCCTCCACAGCACCTCAGCCTTCCTCCCCGACCCCTTCCAGCGTCTGCCTCCCATCTCTTGCCTCCCATCCATCTGCTCACCCCAGGGGACTCTGACTGAGCCTAGATGGTAGATGCTAGGACAGAGAGCATAATTTGTATCCTAGATGCCCCCTGAAGAAGGAAAGTTTAGCTCCCAGGATCATCCCAGATCTCATCACAAAGTCCACATTGTGACCACTCTTCTGTACTCAGACTGCAGATAGTCATCAGCCTTATCCCTCTCCAGTACTCAAATAGCCTACCCTGATTGTTAGGTCCTCAGGGGGAATGTGCTGACCTTGTCTCTCTTCTTTTAAAAAAATATTTTTTTATGTGTATGAGTGTATTGCCTCTCAAGAGACAGGGTCTCCCTGCAGCCCCAGCTGTCCTGGAACTCACTATATAGACCAGGCTGGCCTCACAGAGATCCACCTGCCTCTTCCTTCTGAGTGCTGGGATTAAAGGTGTGCACCACCACGCCTGGCAAAAATTTTTTTTAATTAGCATACAAAGTAATACAAAGTATTAGATATCATAATGACACTTTCAAACAAGGGATTCTTCTTCCCTCCCATCTCCCCCATCTCTCCTTTTCAAAACACTGTGTGTATGTACACATGTGAAGACCAGAAGAGGAGTTACAGGCATTTGTGAGCTGCCCCATGTGGATGCTGGCATCCAAACTCCAGTCCTCATGATTGAGCAGCCAATGCTCTTGCCCACTAACCCATCTCTCCAGGCCCTCTCCTATTTTAAAAATTATTATTTTTATGTATATTAGTGTTATGCCTGCATGTATATAAGTGCACCCATGTCAGGCAATGTCCATGGAGATCAGAAGAGGGCATCCAATCCCCTGGAACTGGAGTTAGAACAGTTGTTAGCCACCATGTGGATGGTGGAAATTGAACCCAGGTCCTCTGCAAGAGCAGCCAGTTCTCTTAACTGCTGAGCCATCTCTCCAGCCCCTCTTCCATTTTTATAAAAGAAAACTATCTATTGACCACTGTTCACTATGATTTACAATAAGCAATATACAGAAGCATAGATACTCTGATGTCTACCATGTGGGTGCTGGAAACCAAACTTGGGTCCTTTGCAAGAACAGCCAGTGCTCTTAACTGCTGAGCCATCTCTCCAGCCCTATTTTTTAGGTTTTGTTTGTTTGTTTGTTTGAGATAGGGTCTTATGCAGCTGAGGCTGTCTTGATCCTCCTACCTCTACCTCCCAACTGTTAGGATTATAGGCACGTACCACCAGGCTCAACTCATAAATTAGTTTTGAAATTTGTCATGATAGAGATATACTGATGAGAAAATTGATCTGGAAATAAACAAGATGACCCTCTGGCTTATGTATGTCATACTAGAGAGTGATCAAAGACCATCTGACTCTAAGGAAACAGCTTTACTTGATTTACTATTTATTATCAATTAAAAGTCAGGCATTTTACAACCCCATAAAGTTAGAAACTAACTTGTAGATAATTGAGTGCAGTATGAGTAGATTTTTCTTTGTTTTATCTGATAGATGGTATCTGTCAGATAGCAAAGATAACCAAAGGTTATAATTACAATGAACTCAGATCATTCTTGCCAAATGTCTAGAATCCCTAAGTAAAAGGAAAGCAAGCTTGTATGCGTCAGAATTTTTGGAAACCAAGTCTGAATGTTGCTTCTGGCACTTACTACATGGCCACAGACAAATATTTGATGTCTGTGAGCCTCAGTGTTTCCTTCTGTAAAACATGAATGCTAATGCCTACCTCAGGGGGCTTTAGTGAGGATGAACTAGGATCAAGTGAAATTATAATGTAAAAGAGTCTGTGACTGGTAAGTATTGCTTATTGATGGATATAGTCTGTATGAATAACTAAGCCCTCACTGTAGTAGCCCTGGCTGGCCTGAAACTTTCTTTTTTTTCTAATAATTTATTGAGAATTTCATACATGCATATAAGGTGTTTTGAGCAAATCCATGCCCACTCTCTCCCTTCCAGCTCTGCCCATATCTCCCCATCTCTTTTTTCTAATAATTTCATATACTCTTTCTTCTTTTCTTTTTTATGGGGCTTTTTGCTACTCTAACATTAGCCCCTCTGAAGAAGTAACCCTAAAATCTTTTTTTTTTTGTCTTTTTGAGACAGGGTCTCTCTGTAGTTCTAACTGGCCTGGAACTCACTATGTAGACCAGGCTGGCCTTGAACTCACAGAGATCCTCCTGCCTCTGCCTCCCAAGTGCTGGACCCCTAAAATCTTTTTTAAGGATTAGATAAAAGCTCCCAAATATTTCAACATTTTTGGCCTTTGGAATGGAGTATGTTGCTAACAGGCCCAAGGACATTGTGACTTAGCCAAGAAACTGGCTACTTTTCTTTGGAGTCTTTTTACTTTCAGTTATTTTGATAGCTGTTGGAGTGCTTAGAATCAGTGTCAGTTCCCTCTCAAAGATGGAGACATTTTTTAAGAGTATAGTAAGTCTTGGGGCTGGAGAGATGGCTTAGGGGTTAAGAGTACTGACTCCTCTTACAGAGAACTGTTTCAATTCCCAGCACCCACATGGCTACTAACAACCATCTGAAACTCCAGTTCCAGGGGATCCAGCGCCCCCTTCTGGCCTCTTTAAGCATTGCACACATGGGTGTATCTACATACATACAGACAAAATACTCATACACATAAAAATGTAAAATACTGAGGGGCTGGAGAGATGGCTCAGCGGTTAAGAACACTGGTTGTTCTTGCAGAAGACTCAAGTTCAAATCCCGTCATCCACATGGCAGCTAACAACTTTTCATAACTCCAGTTCTAGGGAATCTGACAGCCTCTTCTGTCCTCTGCGGGCATTGCATGACATGGGTGCACTTACCTATATTCAGGCAATACACTCATACACATAAAAAAAAAAGAAAATTAAATAAAATTTTTAAAAAAGAAATATACTGATGACTTTACTCTTTGGTTATACTTTCCTTTTGGGTGTTTAAGACCATACAGTTGGCCCAAATAAATCCATTTATTTTTACATTTAAGGTGGTTTGAGGATCTGTTCCTTGGGGGTCACATGGGCTTGGGAGGAGCCCCTGGCTCCTTTCTTTTACCAGTTCCATTTGTGTGACAATAAGTCAAAAGTCCTGCACGACCATGTCTGGCTTCATTTGGAAGCATGGATGAGATGTTTCCTCTGAGATGACCCTTCTCTTTGTAGACTGGATACTGGTTCAAGCCCTTCTTGTGGGATCTCCATGGCCTCCCTGAACAAAAGGACAGGTGACTCACTACAGTTATAGGATATTTTGAGAGGTGTCCCATAGTCCCCTGGAACTTAGTTGACCTTGGAGGGCAAGGGACAAAAACTGTCTTTTAAGTTCCTCTGACCAGGTTAACACAAACCTCAAAGTATGGCTGTTAAACATCCAATAAGGTTAGTTCTACCAGTCTGGTACTTTTAATTACCATGTGTTATGTAGATAAAACTTGGGTAAAAAACCAAATATTCTCAGATAAACCTTGACTAGATATATATTTTGTTCCTTAAACTAGTTGACTAAACTATGACCTTACAAATTTTAGGATACTGTGTATATTATTTTCATCTCATCCTTTATATATCATAACAAACCTACCTTCATCACTTGCATAGGCTTTCTCATTTTTTTCTATTTTGAAAAATATCTCCATTCCCATATACTTTTAACATCTTTTACATTATCATTTTCTTTTTTTAATAATTATGAGACATAATAGCATTAACAAATAAATTATCCATCTGTTGTGAGAATTCTTTTCCTGGGGATACTAAGCAATGCTTATTCCCTTTTAAGGTTCTAGTGTCAAGCCAATGTTTGATTAAAGTTTCACTGGGGAACCAATGAATTTCCTGAGCTTGCTTACTGAGATAACTGAGGGGTTGCTGAGGTGTATGTATGACCTGAGGGTATGCATACTAGAAAGCCTTTACCCAGATTGTATACTTTTGTATACTTTAGCCCTCCCCAAATCCTGGAGGCCATGTGTGATTAGGGCCAAATTACATACAGTTGGCTCAGAAGAGTGGCTGGATGCTCCAGTGAGGGTCCAATGACCCTGCTTGGCTCTCCTTTAATGAATGAGCACAACTGTCAACAAGCCCAATTGTGATGATGTTTAGTAATCAGGCACAGCTGAAGTTGTGACAATGGTAGTTATTTCATGCAGAAGGGACTGCTGTACAGCATCATCTTTGATAGGTAAAAATTTTGGCGGAGAGCGAGCGAATGGAGGCTGAGGCACTGAGGCACAGATAGAACTCTCAGTGGGATACAGCTTTATTTTGCACGGGACACCTTTCCCTCGGGGAAGGGAAAAATGTCAGCCCATGGGTTGTGAGCTGGGACTTATATACGGGGGGCTTCAGGGTGCAGAAGGGGGGGAGTTTTTGGGAAAAATCAAGCACGGGAAGCAGGAAAAGCAGGGCTTGTAAACCTGGCTCTGTTCTGTCTGCCAGCCAGGATCTGGGTCTGGAAGTGTTTACTTTTTTGTCCTCTTAAGATAAGGGAAAAGCTGCTGTGCTAAACAGCTCCTAAAATCTCTGGTTAACAGGCAGAATCTGCTTATCTTGTCTTTGGAGATCAGAGGAAAGGCAGGCTGCCTTTTAGAAG